TTGTTTTGTTGCCTTGTGATGAATTTGACATAGTCCTCAGGCCTCAGTGAGCAACTCCAGCCACCCTTTGTCGTTAACTCCTTCCCACAGATTCTTAGCCTGCTGCTGTTAATCACTTTGTGCCATGCCAGTAACCTTAACACTTATTCTTACCTTAGTGCTCCTTGGTTTCAGTCTTTCATATCAACCTTTTTTCTTCCCCATCCCCTCACATTATTATACTTTCCTGACCCTCACCTCATTTTCCTAGGAGCATTCCTGGGTTATATTAGAGGTCTATGGTGAGATAGTAGACCCACATTTGGAACCCCAAGACCGCATTAGCACTTTTTCTCGTGTGTGTGTGTGTGGAGGGGGGTGATGGTGGGGACTGAACCAGGCCCTGTACCTTCTAAGCAAGTGCTCTACCACTGTGTGTTAAATCCCCAGCTCACAGTATCACTTTTTAGTTCTACCTGTATGGATAATCTCAGACTTGGGGCATGTGAAAGAGCAGCCACATTATTTATGGAGTTGTGCCAGCATAATCATTGGAGTTGGGTTGCTTTATGCTATAATCCTCCCCCCCCCACACACACACACAGGGCCTTGGTATATATAGTTCAGGCCAACCTTGAACTGACTGTGTAAGCTAAGCTGTCCTCAAACTCATGGCAGTCCTCCTGCTTCAGCCACCTGGGTGTTGGGATTACAGGCGTGCTCGATCACATCTAGCTATGCTATAATCTTGACTTCAATAGTTTAGCCATATAGTTTCAAGTTTTCCACACATCAGTTTCCTCTTTAAAGTGGAGATTGTTACAGTACCTATCTCACAGATTCATCAGAATGGATTAAGTGGGCTAATCAGTAGAAAGCTGTTAGCACAGTTCTTGGTGCTTTGTAAACAGTGAATTATGGGACCTGTTTCTAGATTGAATCACTTTTGTGGTACCTTTAGACTACAGAGGAGACAGACTTTGTAGGGAATATAATTTGTGAGCTAGCTCTTAGAAATAAGAAAGAGTCAACATCAGTAAATCAAGAGAGAATTCCCAGCAGCACTGTGGCTGAGAGACATGAGCTAGTGTGACATAGCTGGACAGTGCACAGGGCTAACTGTGACTCGGCGACCAGTGAAGGTGGGGAGGTGCAAGGAAATGAAGCAGGAACGATGACCAGGGGCAGCTCACGGAGAGGTGAAAGCTTGATTCCCCCTTTAGCTCCTATGTCTGCATAGTCTGGTTCCTCTGTTACACAGTCACATAAATGTCTTTAACAGCCACAATAGTGAAAAAGGAAAGAGAGCAGTGATTTGGCCTCAAATGAACTGGCATCTCTTTAAAGCTAATATTCCTCCTTGTGAATACTATGTTAATTAAACATGCGCCTTGCAAGATTTGTTATTGCTTGTGCTCCCCGTTGGTTGCCTCATTCATTAATCTGCTGATTAGTAACCTCAAACTTTTGCATCCCCCACTTTTTTGCATTCCCTTTTTAATATACTGTGCTGTTCCCCCGGGACATAAACTCCAGGACCTGTCCCTGGCCTGCTTATGTTTGTTTTCTTTGCCCCTTATGCCTGCCTCTGCTATAACATTTGTAGTACGTGTTAAGTAATCCTTAAGGTAACATTTTTATTATGTCATAAAAAGTGCATGGCAAATATATTATAACTCATGGACTTTGTTTAAAAATGAACGGATAATTTATTGAGTGTGTTCCATGAGCCTTGCTTCCCCTCCCCCTTTCAGCAGAGACCTGCTGCTCACTTCACCGCGTCTCCTGTTGAGCACTCCCACCCTGTGACACGCTGTGAAAGTAGAGCCATGGTTGGCTAGAAATGACATCATAGTTTATGTACTCAATAAAAATTTAATTAAGTCATTACAGGAATTGCAGTCATCATTTAACCCTCTGATTTCTTCTGTTTAGCTTATTATTAAACATTCAGTAATACCGGTCACGAATCCTGGTGGCTTATAAAATATCTGCATGAATTTTAATAGCTTAAATAAATGGGAAAATATGAGTAACTGATATAAAAGGAACTTTTCCCATGTGGTGATATAGTATGTATGAGTTTTTATAAAAGCAAAGCATTATGGAAAGGATAAGACTTTAATAAGCAAATGGCCCAACTCTACCTTGGAGGAGTTTCTCTTCCATTGGGGGCATCTGTGTATTCATGGGTGCTCCATCTTGGCTGGCCTGGCTTTGGGGAAATGGGAAACCTGCACACCAGTTCACAAACTTACGGAAGGGACTACAGCCCTGCAGGGGCTCACCAGAAAGAATATCCAGCTCCTCTTGGCTGGTAGGACCTGGTGGGTGAGTCCAGTAGTGGAGGAGCTGCTGTCACTTACCCTCACCTGTTGCCTGCAGATCATGTGTCTGCACTGATTGAGCTTCCATCTTCTTCCAGGAAGGGCCCTTTTCATGAGCTAATCCAGCATGGGTGATGATATCTGAAAACCATTCCTGGCTGAGGTCGCTTGCCATCTCTCAACTAGAGGTGAGAGGGACAGGCAGCTTATGGGTCACAGGAGGCAGAGGAGCCTTGCTGATAAGGAGCTGCACTCTTGTGCTTTATTCTACCTGGGCAGCAGCCAGGATGCAAGGGTATCCAAGAGGACAAAATGAATTTGTTCATACTTGGGCCTTGCTGGAAAGCAAGAACTGATTATAAATTAATGTGCTAATAGTGATCTCTGTGGCTCCAGTCCTTCTTAAAGTTAGAGAATAGCTGGTGTGGGAGTAGAGAAACCCTCAAAATGGTTACCAACAGGTCTGTGTTGAAGTCTCACATGACAGAAGTAATAAACTTCCTTTGGCTTATTTGACAGGTGGTGTCATTGGACATGTGCTATGAATGGTGCCCTTGGAAGGATCCAGTTAGAATGCCTGTCCTAACCCCTGCCTTAGGCCAGGCCCTGGCTCAGGTGTTGGAGTGCTGAGATTAATCAGCCATAGTTCCTGTGACCCTTGATTAGCTCTCAGATGGGTGGGAGGGCCAGGTCCGTAGCTCTTGTCAGCCATGTTTTGTACCTGGGGGAGATGTGAAAGCATGGAGAGAGAAGGCTCATGTGGTCCAGGTTGAAGTTGGGTAGGTAAGGTCATGGTTTGCCCTCCCAGCTACCACCAATTTCATATTTTCCAGACTTGAGCTTCACAATTCTGTCTTCATTTTTGAAAATTATCCATGACTATAAAGTATTGGAACTGGTTTTAGTTTTATATAAACAAACCAAAAGGTATTACTCATAATTCCTTGCATTTGCAGAGCCCTGTGCAGTTTAGCAAGGCTTCAGCCTATGTTGTTAAATTAATGAGAGAGTACATACTCGCTTACTGGCTCTTGAAGACAGCTTTTATGTTTGAGGTCTTTAAAAGCCAGCAAAATAGACTCAAAGAGGGGATTTGCTTGATAACATCTCGATCTACCTAGAAGAACTGTGACTTGAACTCTAAATCCTTTTCCTATTTCTGTTCTTCTTCAGAAATCACAAGATAAAGTTGCTTAGTCTTTAAGTTATAATCTCAGGTAAAATTATCCTGTGTCGTGCAGGAACCTGTGGTATGTAAGGAACATGGACTTTGGGTTCAGAATGACCTGGATGCTCATTTCAGCTTATCACTATTTTGCTGTGTGATTGAGGGTAAATCACTTCACCTCTCGAGTCTCTCAGTCAGCTGACTGTAATGTGTCCCTCTCTGAGTTCTGCTGTGGGTTAGAGAAAATGATGTTCATAAAGCACCTGACCTATTGCAGGTGCTCAGTAAATGTAAATGATGGTGGGTGTGGTTTTCGAGAGGGATGTTAAACATGAATCTTATTCTCCATAGAAACTTCCTGTTAATGTAGGGCAGTTTCTAAAACCTGTCAGGTTAAATAATTGTCAGTGAGTCCTTACTTACTCTGTGCTATGTACTGCCCTGGGCTTTCAGCTGGGATCCCAGAGAAGACTAAACCATGGATCATGCCCTCAAGTCTATGGTACTATGCTGCAGGGCAGATTTTCACCCTGTTGAAGATATCCAGTGGACCATACTTCAGGCTCTGAAGGTGTTCCTGGCCGTTCTCTAAGACGGGTCTACCAGGGTTTCCAGTTCTCACAGGAACCCAGTTTCTAAGGTCACCTCGGCATGCAGTCTGCCTCCCTCCCTCTGAGTTGCCCCTCTCATTCTTCCCTGCTCTCCACAGCTTCAGAGGCCCGCCCTTCTCTTCAGCGTCTCACTGTCCTGCCCTTCTCCCTTGTCTTCTCACTTCTGACAGCTTCCTTCTTTTTTTCTTTCAGTGTGACAAGCTCTTTGGAGCCGCCCTTGAGACCTTTGCCAACCTGATGTCCACATACCTTCCCAGTGGTCCTGGGCTTTCACACCCCCAGCATTCCCCAAACATCCTTTTCCAGCCCCACCTCCGCCCCCCTCCTTCCCTCAGCCTCAGATGCTCTCTCCTCAGCTTCTCCTCCTCTGGAGTGTTTGCTTGTTTAATGTAGTCCTGGGGATTGAATATAGGGCCTTCTCATTGAGCTATATCCTCACAGCCTCTGTTTTTCTTTATTTGAGACAAGGTCTCACTAAGTCACCACATTGCCACAGGCTGGGCTTGAATTCGGGATCTTTCTGCCTCAGCCTCCCAGACTGCTGGGATTGCAGGCATCCACCACCATGCCCAGCCTGCAGCAATTTGTTTAAAAGCCTATTTTCCCATACTAGACTGTGGACTCCTTTGACCAAGATACTGTTTATTATGCTTTGTGTTCATGGCATCCGGCACAAAACCAGACATGTAGCTGGAGATCAGTTTATTAAACTGACGGCTTTGTGTAGTTTGGGACAGAAACCTAAAAGAAGTTGGCAAATCAGTAAGAATCTTGACAGATGTGGGAACTGGGAATGGACTGGCAGTTTGACTTGTAAGAGTTTTTTGCTTTGTTCTTTTAACAATCTGTGACAGCTCAGAGCCAAACAGCATAGTTTTTTGGTTTTTCCTTCCTTTAATACTTTTGTTTTTGCAGGTTAATCCCTACATCCTGAAGAAGAACATGATCCTCATGACAAACAGTTTCTATGCAGCAATCTTGGGATATGATGAGGTAAGATCGTTTGCCAAGCCTCAGCCATAACAGTGGCCTCTTCCAAGAAAGGCTTTTGATGACAACATCTAAAAGAAGCTTCCATGACCATCTTTACTGTACATGATATACATTATAGCTCAATGTCTACTTCTCAATTTTCACTGACTGGTTCGCTAGTATTTGGAAAAGAGAGCACCACATAAGATCACTCAACAAGTCGGCATTTGTTGGGTGGCTGTCAGGTACAGGGTGGAAGGACAAAGGTGAATCACTGTCCCAGCCCCAGCTGCTCCCAGAAAGACTTTCATGTGTAAATACCAGAATCTGCCAAACAAATTATACATATTTTTGGCTTTAATTATAAAATCAATACATACTCATTTTAAAATTTCATGAAACTATACAAACAGTCGCAATAGAAAATAGAAGGCCCAGGGCTGGGGTATAGCTGACTAGTAGAATGCTTGCTTAGCTCGTGTGAGGTGCTGATCTGCAGCACTGAAAAGAAAGAACGAAGGGTTGGGGAAAGGAGAGAGAGGAGAGCGGGGAATAGAGGGAGGGGAGGGGAGGAGAAAAATAGAAGGCCCATTTTCTTTTCTGCTCTATTTCCTGCCCCAGAAGACAACTTAATTCGTAGTTCATTGGATGTCCTTCCAGATGTTATCTGCGCATAGACATGTATCTGAGTTTTTTCCCCCATTATGCAAATGGGAGTTGTGCTATAGATACACCTTTCTTTGACTTGCTTTTTGTTCACTGAACGGTGTGTGCTAGGAATTCTTCCACTTCGGAACATATAGGTTATCTCACCTTTTGTATTGTAAAGCAAGTATATAACAGCTGGGTATGGTGGCACACACCTGTGATCTCAGCACTTGGGAGGCTGAGGCAAAAGGATTGCAGTGAGTTCGAGGCAACCCAGGCTATATAGAGATTTCAAGACCAGTCTGATCTATATAGCAAGACCCTGTCTCCAAAATAAAAACAAAAATAACACAATGAAAAACAGTTAAACTGATTAATTTTATGTATGTATATATTATTTATATAAAATTATATATATGTGTATATATATATACATACACACTTTTTTTTTGAGTCAGGGTCTTATTATGTACTTCATTCTAGGCTTGAAATTCCTATGAAGCCCAGGCTGGCCTCAAACTCATGGCAATCCCGCTGCCTCAGCCCCTTGAGTGCTAGGATCACAGGTGTATATCTAGCTCTAGTTTTAACTATTTTTAGGTATACAGCTCATTAAATATATTCCTGTTGTAGGTATGTGCCACCATGCCTGACCTTACATGTTTTATATGTTCTTTGGCTATTAGTCTGGTTTTCAATATGTACATATGATAATTAACTTTATATGGTCTTATAAGTAAATGAGACCAATGCTAGAAAAATAAAAGAAGGTAGAGGAGGAAAAAGAAGAAAATTGAAATGTGTTATTGTACATGTACCAGTCTTCTACAGTGAAATAAATCTCTGTGTACTACAAGTAGGTATTTTAAAAAGTCATATATATATATACACATATACATATGTGTGTGTATATAGTTATACAACTATTTATACCATCCATCTTAGAACTTTTACATCTTCCCAAACTGAAATTTGTGCCCCTTGAACATTAACTCCCCATGCCCTCCTTTCCCCAGCCCCTGACAACCATCATTTTACTCTGAGTCTCTATAAATTTGCCTACCCTAGGAACCTCATATAAGTAGAATGGTATGGTATTTGTTCTTTTGTGACTGGCATGATCTCATCAGGGTTTATCCATGTTATGGTCTTTACATTGGGAATATATCAATGAATCTGACAGGTTTACTGATTACATTCTGATTTTAGAAACCTTACAGTATATAAAAGAATGAAGCTTAGCACTAAAAAAAATACAACTCTCTGCTAGCATTTGTGGTCTCCATTGCAAGTGACTGGGCTCAGTTGACTCTTTCATGAGGATTGATAATGAGGTACTGAATTGTGTCTGCTCCCTGACCCCCATCCTGGTCTGTACTGGCAGAGCCATTTGACCTGAGTGTTGCCCATCACAAGAGTCACTTGGAGTGCTTTTCATTTACTCCCCGAGCACCTCTGAAATTCCCCATTCAGCAGCAGTTCTGCCTGATGCTTCAGTAAGCACCCCAGGTAACCCTCCAGTGAGGGAAGTTTGGGGAATATGCTATTTGCATGGGACAGTTTTTAGAAATACCACTACTTTGGTCCTGTGCCCCAAAAATTCTGATTGAATTGGTGTGGGTAGGCATCTGTAATTTAAAAGATCCCAGAGAATTTAAATATATATTTCCAGAACAATTTTTCTTAAATTTTAAGGAAACCAACAGGTCTGATTCTGTATTCTGCAGACCGCTTTTGGAATTACAAGGTTCTCGAGGTATCCATTACTAGCTACATGCAGTTATTTTTACTTCAATTAGGTAAAATTTAAAAATCAGTTTCCCATTTCTGGTGATCACAATTCAGGTACTCAGTCACTGCATGTGGCAGAGGCCTCTGTGTTGGACTGCACAAACACAGAACATCCTCCTATCACAGGAAGTCAGGAAGTTCTCGAAGGAAGCACCCTTCTGTTACACTCTTGCTTGGATTGTTTTCCCTTCCTGGACACTTTTGGAGCCTTCCAGTTTTTCTGTTTCATGAGGTTCAAATTGCTCCATGGAATTTGGGGTCTTCTGCGAGCTGTTGCCATCTTTACATGTCCTCTTCATCTTCATCTCCTGTTGCCTGTGGGAGAATTGTTGTGCAGCCTCATGTTTGGCTTCCATGTAACCCCTTTCTTTTTCTACCTTCTTACTTTGAAATTTGCATCCTTAGACCAGCCTCCCATTAGTTTCCACTGAGTTAGCAGCAGTCTGGTAGAAAGAAGGCTGCCACTGGATTTGGTCATTTTCAGTGTACTCACCTAGTGAGCCAGGGAGTGCATTGTATCCATGGAGGCTAGGCACTTGCCACCCTCTGACCTCAGCGGTACAGACTGGTCTTCCTTCTGTTACAGTTGGCACGCTAACCTCTGAACCTCCTTACTTGTCTTTCAGACACAGTTAATATCTGTGCTGTATGCAGTCCTTGAGAGCCAACTGTGTGAGCAGGCAGTCATTAGCACTGTTGGATCAGACTGTTCTGGAGCTCCTGCTTATGGTTTATCCCATCTCAGCCATCTCACCCACCACTGAGGCTACTTGTTTAGAGAAGGCTTTTTTATCTTTGGCTCTGCTCATTCTTTAGGTCCCCTTGGTACCCATTACCACTTCTGGTGCTTCTCATTTCCCACATGTGGGTTGTTCCCAGCAGCATCCAGCCTGCGCCCAGGGCACTTCAGACCCTGGCAGGTTCTTGTGTTAGAGTGGAGAATGGTGACATGCCTGAGCTTGTCCTTGGCCCTTGCCATCTGTCAGGAGAGGCAGTGTTTTCCTGACTCAGCCATGATGCAGGACAGTCTTCAGCTGTAGGACTGTGCAAGTATTTAGCAGAGGACATCCGGAGCAAGTGGAATGCTTTCCTGCCAAACTGTCAGCTCCCACCCTGTTATGGCCCTTCCTGGCAGCAGGCCTTAGCGGTCGGTCACAGAACCCAAGAGCCCGGACCACGACATGTGCAGGATAAATACTCCTGTATCTTCGTAGCATTGAAGGAGCCTTGCATAACCATTATCTTTTAACAACCCTGTGGAGTGGGATTATTTTGTTTGTTAAACTGATGAAAAACAAGCGCTGGAAGGCTAGTGGCTTTTCAAAGACCATATAACATTAAGTGATAGAGCTGGCATTTGAACTCAAGCTGTCTGGCTCCAGATACCACTCTCGTGTCTTTCTGTATCTATAGCTGCCTGCCAAGGTATGCTCCAAGTCCTTGTAGCCAAGATATTACATTTTAAAGCACCTTCATACCTTTTTTTTTTTTTTTTTGGTGGTAGGAGGGATAAACATAGGGCCTTGCTTGTACTAGGCAAACTTTCTACCACTCACCTCACCCCCAGCTCACATTGTCTTATTTTCATAATTCAAGGATGCTGTAGGTAAACAAGTACTTTCATCTCTTTCTAATAGCTAAGATGTCTGAGACTCAGGTTTCGCCACTGCGATTAAATGTGGCAATGACAGTACCAGGACTTGATCCAACCTTCTGAGTTCCCCAGTCAGCACGTTGGTTCCACACACTACCTTGGCGCCCAGACAGAGCAGATTCTTGAGGCCTTTCCCTTCAGTTGCTCCCATTCCTCCCTCCCCTACTGGCCTGAGCTAGAAGATGGCTCTAATTAGTCTCTGTGATGTTCCGACTTCCCAGAAGTGTTACCTATGTCAGGAGAGGCTGTGTCAGGCAGGTGCATGTGTAAGCTCTGAACACTGTCCTGTGTGGCCTTCTGTGGCCCTTGCTGATCCTGCTGAGCAGCGTGTTACCTTTATGATTGGCCAGACTGCCAATGGTGAAAGAAAAGCAACTGATTCCCCTTCCCAAGGAGCCTGCTGCCTTGCAGATAGGTGCCTGTGAACCAGGTGAGAGGGAGCAGTCCACACCCAGCTCCATTGCTGGGAAAGCATACACTCGGGGTACTGCCACGCCCTGTGGACAGCAGCAGAGGCACTGCTATTCCAATGCTTTTCCTTGCCCCTCAGACATTGCCTGGGCCAGGTGCAGTGCAGTAGAGAAGAGGAAACCCCATGCCTTAGTCCCAGCTTCTGCATCACCTCAGCCGTGACTTGGCCCTTCTGGGTCCATGTTCTCTTCTCTGAATAAAGTAAAGGTGTCAGCCAGGCACGGTGACCCATGCCTGTAATCCCAGCATTCTGGAAGCTGAGGCAAGAGAACTGCCATAAGTTCAAGTCCAACCTGGGCTATAAAGCATGACCTTATCTCTATACTCTCCCCGACAAAAAACAAAGGAATTGGATCACACATTCCTGGAAAACCCCTTCCAGCTGTACATGTAACTGTCTTAGTACCTTTGAGGTCCTTCTAAGCTGGGTTTTTTGTGTTTGGGGGATTTTTTTGTTTTGTCTGTCTGTTTGTTTAACAGTACTATAGATTGACTTGAGGCCACCACACTAAGCTACATTCCCAGCTTGTGTTTATTTATTATTATTATTGCTATTATTATTATTTGAAACAGTCTGAGTCACTAAGTTGTCAAGATTAGGGGGATCAAGGTTGGGGGGAAAAAGGATTAGATTTGAACTTGTGATCATCCTACCTCAGCCTGGGGTATTGGAATACAGGCAGTTTTAGCCAGTTCTTTCCTCTCATGACCACATTTTCGCTGTTTGTCTCATGCCTTGATGATATTCCCTGGTAGACCAGTTTTTATACTTTATGTTCCAGGGGATCCTTTCAGATGATCACGGGCTGGCTGCTGCCCTCTGGAGGACCTTCTTCAACCAGAAATGTGAAGACCCTCGACAGCTTGAGTTGCTGGTAGAATATGTGAGGAAACAGGTAAGAGGCCCCCCGGCTCACACACAAAGTCTTATGGAAAGCAGATCTCCCAAGCACTGTGTGGGCTGGACTTCCGGGGCTGTAGGAAGTCAAGTTAGCAGAGGCCAGGCTGAGGGAATGCTGACCACTTCCATTAGTGGCTGGTACCAGTGAAGAATGCGTCCTTCTGTGTGTCCAGCTATGAACCAGACCGGGTTCCAGCACATGGGGATAGGAGAGGGCACCAAGTAGCCTCTGGCTTTCAGAAAGTCCTAGCCATTCTTTACCACACATTTCATTATCTACTGTGTGACCTTGGAGTGCTGGAAGATGGGCATAGTCAGCCCTTCTGTACCCACTTAGAGTCCCAGGACTTACTCCGTGTTCCTGACATCTAGTAGGACGGGGCTGCAGCAGCACTGAACAGACACACTCAGCCTCTACCCACCGGCCACTCTCCACAGTCAAGTGGCACCTACTCAGGTCCTTACCCCTTTACGTGTACCCCAGGGCTCCCTGATGCTAAGGCTTCTAGGAGGAGCTCTCCTTCATGGACTGCTTATCCACAGAGCTTTCTCAAACCCATGGAGAATTAACTCCTGGATCTCCCTGTCCCGAGATCCTATGTGAATAGGAAACTCATACTTTCTAGATGGCTGGGCTGAGGAGCAGGGAAAAGAAATACAGACCCTTTTCCAGGGTCTCCCAGTGAGTCAGCCTCCACTACTGGCCTTGGACCCCAAGCTGGGTGATTCATGTAACACTAGAGACCTCAGCTGCTGCAGACTAGCTCACCAGCTGGGGCTGTCTGTGAGTCACACCTTCACTTCCTAGGTCTGGCCTGTAGGGCAGAAGGGCCCTCACTCCACAGTTAAGTCTCTTGTTCACCTGTATCAATGACCTTCAAGCCTCCAAAAAGTAGAAAAAAAGCCAGACCCCAGATCTTGAGCAGCCAGGGCCAATAGGACTGACTAATTCATTGCTGCAGATTTGTCCAGTTGAGGCTCTTTAGATCTAGTCGGTAGAAAGGCCCAGAAGCCAGGACTTCTGTTTGACCATTCTTCAAATCTGTCAAGAGCCAGGAGAAGTTACTGCAGCCAGAGAGCCCCACCCACAGAGAATTCTGAGACTCACACTGTTGACAGGACTCGCCCTCAGACAGAGTAGCAGTTGGCAAATCAAATACTGTTTTCTCAAAGACCTGCCCAACTTTTCCATCTGCTATAGTGGCCTTGTGCCAGAGGCCACAACAGGACACAGCGGGGTACCCTCCAGGGTCTCAAAAGGAAGAACTTGCCATAATTAATGTCTCTATAAGACTCATATGACAGTGGTGAAAGCCAAGCAAACAATGGTGAAGCTTTTAGGAAAGCAGGGAGCTTTACTGGGCACCCAGTGCCATCAGCAGACCTGCTCTACCCAGCCCTGTGCTGGGAGAGCAGAGATCGATGCAGCCCTGGAAGTCTTGCATCAAGGAAGCAGTTGGCGCATAGCCAGCCTCAGAGGAAGGTAGACACTGGGCAAAGCTGGGAGAATTGGGTCCCGCTGAGTGGATCAGGGAAGATCCTATGCTTAGTGCTGCATGATAACCACTCCCAGGCTGAGTCGAGGTTTGCAGTCAAGGAATTGGGCAGAATGGTGGTGTTAGGGTAAGTTGCTGGGGAGGGAGATGGGTTTCTGTGTTCTTGCCCTGAAGAGATGCGAGACATGGGATTCTAGATCTGTCTGTGTGAGACCCTGGGATTGATTTCAGGGGCCAGCAGTCTGAAGATGGAGCAATAAGTGTGATTAGTTCTTAGAGGAAGGGGCTGACCCAAGACCTAAGGTGAAGCCCTTGGTCTGCCTTCCATCTTCCCTGAGGGAGCCTCATCTTCTGAGGTCCAGTGCCACCTCCTGCTCTGGTCTAGTTTTCACTGGAAATGTGACCTGTGCACTTGAAAGCCTTTCTCACCTCCTGTCCACCATACGAGCAGGTGGCCTGGGAAATCCTCCCAAAACTACTGCCTTCATCTCCTGAGACCCCCTTCTCTATCTTTTTTTATATTTTATTTTATTTTATTTTATCTTTTTGAGAGAAGGTTTCACTATGCAGTTCAGGCTGGCCTTGAACTCACTTTGTAGCCCAGGCTGGTCTCAAACTTGCAGTGATTCTTCTGCTTAAGCCTCCTGAGTGCTGGGATTACAGGCATGCACCACCACACCTGGCTTTAAATGCTTTCTGGGGGACCTCCTCCCATTTGTCTCTATTCACAGTGTCCCCTCTCCACAGGGAGGGCTGTGCACTTAGATTTCTGGGCAGGCCTGAGCGGTCAGAGGCCTACCACTGCCCTGGGTAGTGGAATCTGGAGCTCACCATCTCCGTGCTGAACTGATTGGGGGCAGAAATGGTAGAAGGCCCGGAAGGAATATGATTGTTCTCAGCTGTGGTGAGCAGCAGTATGTGGCTATTGTCCTTCTGGTTCCAGTGGGAACACCAAGGCTGGTGACAGTCATAGGCGAATGGCAGGGGCATCTCTAGGATGATGACCACCTCAACAACAGAGTTGTCCTAGAGCAGGGAGGCTGGACCCACTGGCCAGCATCAGGGCCTCCTGAAGGACAGTGGATATCCATGTTAGGGAAAACTCATTTGGGTGACACCCACCACGGTACATGTGCCTTGTTTAATCTTTTTCTGAGTTCCATGAGGCACATATTTCAATCCTATCAGGTGAAGGAGTCTAGATCTCAGTGAAGGAAGTGGTCACCTGGGATAACTAGGAAGGGACAGAGTTGGGATTCTTTCTCCCAGCAGCATTGGATGGGGGTGGACAGGATGACTTCTGTAAGTCACCAGCTCTGACTTTCTGGCCTGCAGGAACTCTGTAGGAAGGACGTAACCAGAGGAGAGAGACTGACCTTGAGTGTGTATCACCGTTCAGATGTGTCCCAGGGAATTCCCTAAAACCTTCCCAGTGAACCTCCTTAGTGACTGTTCCCCTAGATCTCCTGAATAAAATGACCTGGAGATCAGAGCTAAATGGTCAGAAGCTCTGCAGCTCCCTTTTACTTCCTCTTTCTGGGGAAGCTGGTTCTTTTTGTCACCTAGAATGTTTGTTACCCCTTCCTTTTCGTGATTCCTGCAGATGCAGTACCTGGACTCCATGAATGGCGAGGATCTGCTTCTGACAGGAGAAGTGAGCTGGCGCCCTCTGGTGGAGAAGAATCCTCAGAGCATCTTGAAGCCCAATACTCCAACTTACAATGATGAAGGTCTTTGAAGGACTGACTGGTCCCTCCAGGCTTTGAGGAACTACAGCAAAAGAAGTGCTTGTTTGGCCCAGGACCCCCACAGAAAGTGGCCCAAACTGACCTGTGAACAGCATCTGTCAAATACCTGGCCCATTTGTTGATTTTCCTCTTAACGTGCCCAGGAGTCTGATCTGGTGGGGGTATAATGCTGGCAAAACCTTTAGCTCTTCTGAGATGTTGTCTCCCTCAAAAGGAGCCCCCAAAGCTGGTCGTGGGGATGCACACTGTATTCCCAGCACTCTGGGAGGCTGAGGCAAGAAGATTGCAAGTTCCAGCCCAGTCAGTGAGACCCTGTCTCAAAATAAAAAACAGGAAAAGGGCTGGGGATATAGCTTAGTGCAAAAGCCCATGCCCTTTGCACTAAGCCATGGTTCATCCCCCAGTCCTACAAAAACAGTAACAACAAAAACAACAAAGGAGCCCCAAGTAAAAGCTCCCTAACACATGCTCCCTAAATCCCTGTAGCAGCCTTTCCTACAGGAAAGGATGGAGGGGTAGAAAGGGGACACACCCTCCCCCAAGGGCCTGCTGTGGTCTAGGAGCTGTTTGTAATGCTGCCAAGTCAAGATGGGTAGCCTCACTCTGTCCCCTGGCTTTGAGCCGTGGGGTTGAATTGGCCATTAAAAGAAGCAGATTTCTGTCTACCATGGTTTTTTCTTTATTCTAGTCTTTTAAGAAATCTATGTGAGATCATGACTGCCATAAATTAAGGGGTACTTCCCAGCTCAGAGACAGAGAAAGGGGAAAGCTCAGGGTCTCTGCTGCTGCTTTTGCCTTCAGTTTATGAGATTTGTCGATGTCTGGCAAAGGCATGGCCTGCCAGGCCCACCCTCTGGTACCCAGGAGGCCTCTGATGTCCAAAGGGCTTGTGGTATCCTAATCACTTAGAACCCTCAAGAACAAAGGTCGTTTTGTTACTCCCCAGTGAATTGGGTGAGGAACATGCTACCTTTTCTTTCTTGGCCTCCCCTTACATGAGGTGCTGGGGCAAAAACAGCATTCCTCCCTGCCTAGTTACACTGTCCCAGGTCCTAGCCCCATGTCCACTTCCCAGCTTCCGGAGAACATGCTGCAGAGCCACCTGGTTGAAGCACTGGAGGACCAGTTCCCTCCTTCCTTGGAGTGTGGGTTGTCTCTTAGGGGGTTTTCTTAAATTGAAATAAGGGGGGCAGGGAACCACTTTGCCCCTCCCTCCCCTATCAGACTTCCTTCATTGAACTCACTATAAAATGAGTCATATAAAGAAACTCCATACGGGTGAGGTATATCCCACTTCTGTGAAAACATTACAAATCAAACCACCTTCTCTCAGTTTATTTAAGATGCTTTTGTTGCAAGCAGAGCTCTAGAGTGAAGCCTCCTCTGTGTATGTGAGATAATAACACCTTGTAACTCATTACAGCTGGGCACTATTTACATAAACCAGAGCCAAGCCAGGCAGGAATTTGCTGATTAATTTATTTTTAATGGAGTGAAGTATACCATGCACCAAAATAAACTTTACTGTGTGTACCTAACTGCTCCTGGAATGGATGGAAAAATTAATGGAACAGATTTTGGCTCCCAGCTCTGCACATTAATTCATATATAAAAGTTATGTGAGCATTAACCCATTTGCTGCCCAGGGCAGCTCCCCAGTCACGGATCCTAGGCCAGAGCGCCAGTTTAGTTACCAGGCTTGCTTTTAGAATCCTGGAACTTCAGATTTGCAAGGAATGTTCAAAATCATCTGGGCCAGCCCTGGTCCAAAACTTCACTGCTCTGCTTAACTTCCACATTGGCCTGTGTTCAGGCAGGCCCTGGATGGATTCCCCCAGCAGCAGATAGATGGTCCCTGCCTGCAGAGGATTCAGCAATCATCAAATACAGCAACTTGTAGAGCTGAATTTGAATCAGCCAAATGGGATCTGCTACATCTGTGACGTCTCAAAGCCTTCACTTCCTGGCTGTCAGCATCCTTCCCTGGCCCCACAAATCCCTGTCCCTTTTAAGATAAAACCTGGGGTCCTTGGTCTATAGGCTCTTCTCTCTTGTTTCTATCTCAACTTTTTTTTTTTTTTTTGTACCTAGGATGGAACAGCCTTGCACTTGCCAGCCGCAGTTGCCGCTTATGCCGCTGATATCCCAGCCTATTTTTATGGCGCTCTAACCCACTTCTTCCCCAATCAAACTGAAGCCCCATAGGGTTACCTGAAGGGATCACACTGCTTGTCCTTTACGTGGACTGCATGCCTTGTGCTGCTGACTAAAGAAATCCCATGCTTCCTCCAGACACTCCTTTGTCCCCATCTTAGGCCACGCTGTCCATGGTACTCCTTACAGTGCACTACTCTGGTCACTCTGCACTCCTTGCCACGTTTCCACATGCCTACCTCCTATACTGTACCTTGGACTGCTGCCCGCAGAGCAAATACCATGTGGGTCAGCTTTATTTTTCCAGTGTCTAGCAGAGTGCTTGGCTCACAGTCAGCATCTGTGTCTACTTTGTTAAATGAGAGAAAATTATCACTGGTTATCAGGATAAACCCAACAGAAAAGGCTTTTGGCTTTCTCCAACTGACCTACAATTCAGCTTATTTTTGCAATACTAAGTCGGGTATAGTGGCACATGCCTAAAATCCTAGCTATGCAGGAGGCTGAGGCATAAAGATCACAAGTTTGGGCAATTTAAGGAGACCCTGTCTCATAAATAGACTTGACAACACTCATATGCAAGCCCCAGCATCCCGAAAGAAAAAAGTAATGCTAAAGTATTAAGCTCCTCCTTTGACCTCTGTATGGGGCCCAAAGCCAAAGCTCCAGCTAAATATCTTTCTAAAGTAAACTGTTTCACAAAACAGGTAAAGGGCATGGTATCTTGTTCCCAAGGACACTTCTCTTTACAAATCATTTTGTCAAGCATTTAACCTCTAAACTTCAGAAAAGATCACAGCAAATAACACAGAAGGAAACTAGTAAAACAAAATTGGAAGCCAGGCATGATGGTGCATGCCTGTAATCCCAGCACTCAGGAGGCTGAGGCAGGAGGATTACTGAGACTTTAAGGCCAGTTTGGGCTACATAGTGAGACCCTGTCTTAAGAAACAAAACAAAAAACTTTTTAAAAGATAAGATACAAGGGGCTGGGGATTTAGCTCAGCGGCATAAGTTCAATCCTCAGTACTGATAAAAAAGAAAAAGACAAAAAAAAAAAAGATACAAATATTGTGAGGGAAAATAATTACATCAGAAAACCTAGACTGCTGATCACCAACTGAAAGATGGCTTTTTTTTTTTTTGTAATTTACAAATATTTTAAATGTGTTTTCTCACCACAGCCCTATAAAATAGGTGTTATCATCACCTCTACCACAAGTGAGGAAAAAAAAGGGCCAGAGAGGCCTAGCAAATTATTAGAGAGTGCTGCCACCCTACATTGTGTGACCCCAGAACCCCTGCTTGTTCCCTAAATCATACTGCCTCCTGCAAGTCAGCAGGGAGCTCTACCCATCACGCCATAAGGAAACAGGTGCGCTGAGAAGATACTGCTTGCTGCTACAGGTGACCCTGAGCAGAAGCAAGTCTGAGGACCCCACTGCTTTGGATACACCTCAAGCTTCTGTGTGAGGAGCCAGGCTGGGAGAAGGTGGACTTTGGGCAGTGGAGATGTCTTGGGAGAGCAAGGGCATGGGGTAATTGGGACTGGGATGAGGACACTGGCTCTGCTTGAGTATCAGAAGGACACATGCAATCCTGAGGCTGGATGATTTCCCAGAGGCCAGGCGAGGTCAGCAACAGGGCTCAGAAGCAAGAGCACTGACAGGAGGTGGTAGGAAGAGCAGAAGCCACGCAAAAGGTGGAATCTGGAGAGGAGACCAGGAATGAAGAATGGGGTCAGGGAGAGCTTCCAGAAGAACCCTGAGATTTGGTCTTAGGGATAGGACAGGCCTCAGGCTCCTGGCTGAGACTCTGTCTCCCTACTCACTGCTGCCCTGGTGCTAACCTCCTACCACAGGCTTTCTGTGGCTTCTGGAGACCTCTCAGGCACCATGTTGCTGAGTCTGGAACCCAGACTCTGCCCAGATGACAACGTGCAAACCCTGATGGAGCATCTCAAGGAATAGTGTCCAAGCACCGACCTGTTATGGCAGCAGTGACAGACTACAGTGTTAGTGCCAAAAGGCACTTGGAAACCTGCCTGGTCATCCTCATATGGTGGCAAACTGACCCCAGAGAGGCCCTGGTCCTGGTTCCATTATCCTAGCCTATCAGCCAACCAGCTTCCCTTTCTCTCTTTTCCTCTTCCTGCATCCAGAAAAGCTCTTTCACCTCAGGCCCCCGCTGAGAGCCTTCCAAGGGCTGTACTCCTTTGAGGGGTCTGGGTGGAGACATGGTTCCTCTAAGGTTCTAGAATGGGTCATGAGCTCTACACTCCAAGCACTTAGTTTATACTTTGGTTCGTGGTTTGTAATTATTTATGAGTCTGTCTTCACAGCCTAAACTGAGTTCCTCCAGGGCAGAGATGAACTCTTACTCATCTTTGAGCTCAGTGCTGGGGTAAAGTGGGCATTAAATCTATGTTGGGTGGGTGGGCTGGTTAGATGGAGGGGGAACAAGATGGGCAAGGAGAGTTAGCTATAAAAATAAGGGTTCAGGGGCTGGGGATTTAGCTCAGCGGCATAAGTGCCTGCCTTGCAAGCAGGCAGTCATGAGTTCGATCCCTGGTACTGGTAAAAATACAAAAAAAAAGGGGGGGGTTCGGGGTCAGTGGATAATATCTCTTATGTTCCCCTCTCAAGTTGAGAACAGACTGAAAACACGAGAGACAGATGGACATCAAAAGCAGCAGCTTTGGGCTGGGGACATAGCTGAGTGGTAGAGTGCTTGCTTAGCATGCACAAAATCCTGGGTACAATTCCTAGCACCACAATGACAGAACAGTGAATGTGATGGCTTTGCCAATATTACTGACAAAGCTATCTGAAGAACACAGCTTCCACTCACTGACCAAGTGAACTTGCTGTTCTCCTTTCAGAACCAAACATCCTGCCCTGCCATGCAAGGACAGACCTCTGGTTTACAAATGCAGGATCCTCTCTTCAAGTTTACCACATAGATGTGGATGGAGAATGTGCTGTCCTTGCATATAGCAGAATCAGTGACAGAGAGAGCAAGTGAGCTCAGCCTGCTTCTTCCCTAATCCACCAATCAGACAAATCATCAATCATTCCCCTTCCCTTGGTAATGGAGATGGAGGATGAGGATGCAGAAGAGGGACTGTCCCTTTCATGAGTCCCATCCTGGAGAGTAGAGTGGGGTTTTCTCCTATTATGGAAACAAGTCTTCTGCCATTAGATCGGATGGGATGAAGTGGATGGTGGTGGGAAGGATACAGGTGGGTCGTGCCATTACCCAGTCACAGCTGCCTCTCTCAGACTAGAGAGGGATACACAGAGGGAGACAGAGTCATGCTTCCTGTGAGCTGGGTAGAATAAGTGACAAGATCCCAGAGGCAGTTGGGGGATGACCAGCTGCTCTCCATTGACATGGCCCAATGGGTGCCTTGGCCTTCAGGGCCAGCCATGGTCTGGCAGGAGCAAGGGACTGAGCAGCAGGAGCTCTTGTGGTTCCTGCTTCATCTGTATTCAGGCCTTCACTGAGCCCTTGTCTTTCACATCTGAAAAGCTCTGCAGTTCAGCATGAACCGAGCTGCTCAGCTGCCCTCAGTCAGCATTTGACGCACATTAGTGCATTTCTCAAGACAGCCAGTGAAGGAGGTGCTGTTGGCCCCATTCTATGGATTAAGCCCTTGTAACTCAGAGCAGTCTGGCTCACCATTGTCTAACCAGGTGTCTCAGGTCAGTGGCAAACTATAGCCCTGGGTGGGCCCAGCCTTGGGGAAATCAGGGGAAACCAACTCAGAATTCATGGGTGAGTGACCTATAGGGGACATGTGTGGTGCTCGGGACAGTGAGCTGCCCCATTGGTTGCTCCTGGGAAGCCAAGACTATACTTTGGGCCATTCTCTCCAAGAGCTGCATCCTAAGTATATCCTAAAGTTGTGTTCTGGAATCTTCCCAACCTCTGTGCTGTCATCTGTAGCAAGGCCCTCAGGGCTCCTCAGAGGGTGGCAGCGGCTTCCAGGCCACCTTGGCCCTCCTCCAGCCTAACACCACACTTGCCAGCTAGCTCTGGTTGGAACTGTCCTCGGCCTTACTACCTCATTCAAGCCAGTCACTGGGACAGCTCCTCACTTACTCTCTTATCAACCCAGTTCCTAGGTGGCTTTGACTTGCTTCAAGGCATTTGGGCACATACTGGTGGCCCTTCCACTAGAACTCTGTTCCCCCTGACCTAGAGGTGCCACAGCGAAAGTGTGGCATTAGAGCAGCCTGCCACTGGCAGCTGCAGCCAGCCTCTGCTTCCACCGCCCCCACACAAATCAGCTGTCCAGACGCCACTTGGCTCAGAGAGACAACAGACAAGGTAAGTGGCCCCCAGGAAGGCTGAGCAATGGCAGGCAGGCGCCCGACACCCTGAACAGGAAAATATTTTCCTTCCTCTTAATAACAGTCATTAAGGGGCCTGTGCACCACATGCTGCAGCCAGGGGCTGGGCTTGGGTCTGCCTGTGTGGCTTCTATTCCCTTGGGCCAGTACCCCAAGGCCAGGATTCACCTATCTTCCTTCTCCTGACCCTTTACGCACCCAGCCCATGGGCAGGGGGGCTGGATCTGAGGTCCATGCTATTATTGACATGCTGCCAGGGATTCCTGGGACCCTTCTCTTCGACCCAGCCCTCCCATTTCTGTCTCTTTCAATTCAGCTCCCTGTACTGGCTCCCAGTACCAAAGCCCAGGCTTAGAGTCAAGGACAACCTCTGACATACACTGGCATGTGGCCAGATATCAAAGACAGCAAACAGGCACAAAGTCACAGATAGTACATACATATATGTACATGCACAAGTAGATATGTGTAGATGTATATTTTGTTAAACCATAAGAAATTGCCAATATTCAGTGATGTTTTACTTACAAACAAAATGGATTTTTTTTTGCTTTTGTTTTTTGAGATGGTTTCATTATATAGTTCAGGCTGAACTCAGCTTGAACTTACTGTGTAGTCCAGACTAGCCCCAAACTTGCAGGAACCCTCCTGCCTCAGCCTCCTAAGTGCTAGGGTTATAGGCATGCACCACCATGCCTGGCTGCTGAAAAATATCCAGATTTGTTATTTGACACAGGGTCTCGCTATGTGGTTCAGGCTGGCCTTGAACTCACTATGTAACCCAGTGTGGCCTCAAACCCGCAGCAATCCTCCTGACTCAGCCTCTGAGTACTAGGATTACAGGCATGTGCCACCATGCCTGGCTTGGAATTTTGTACTTACAAAAATGGAATTTAGTACAAACGTGGGCATGGAAGAAAGTATACAAAAATAGAGGGAAAAAAAGCCAGGAAAAAAATATAGACCCAAATTTGCTCAGAGAGCATTCAACTAACCTACATTCAACTAACGTTATTTGCAGTAGCCAAAAGGTGAAAATAGCTCAAGTCCCTAAGTGAATGGGTGGATATGCAGGATGTAGTACAGACAAGGCTGGGGCTATGGCTGTAGTACCCACAAGTGAGAGGGCACTTGTCTAGAGCACATCAGACCCCAGTACTTCACACAAACTGTACCCAAACACATGGAATGTTAGCTGCAGAACACACAACATGAATGAGACCACATGAAATAAGCCAGACATGAAAAGAAAAGTGCTGTATGATTCCATTTACAGGAGGTTCCTAGAGAAACCAAATTCATAGGGGCAGGGAGTGGAATGATGGTTGCCAGATTCCAGGGAGGGAAAATCGGTGAGTTGTTTCATGGTGTAACGTTTCAGCTTTACAAGATGAAAAAAGAGTCCTGGAACTGAAGAATGTACTGAATGACACCAAAGGATGCCTAAAAATGGTTAAAATGCTATATAATGAACAAGATACAGAGCCAAAAATAGATACCATGAGATAGAAATATATACAATAGAAATAAACAGACACACACACAAACATGCCTCCTTCCCTCTTTCTCTAACCCAGATAAGGTCCTGGTTCTCCCCTTTTCCCCTCCAAGCAAATCCGGAGATAAGGGCCTAATGAGGGCCCTGCCAGCTCTGCTGCTCCACAGCTCAGCGCCCTCCCACAGGCTGGCTTTGTTTACCCAACTCCCTGCTACTCACACAGCCTCTCTGCCCCCAGGGAAGGGCCTCCTGAGAGGGCCTGGTGCTCCAGTTTCTGCCCCTGGGATGGGATGGGATGGGGTGGGGGCCTTTAGCTCCTGGTTCATAGCTCTCCCATGTCTCCAGTCCCCCATCATGGTAAAGCCGGGTTCTCACAGAAGAGACTGTGCTGTGGACCTTGTCACAGACCAGATAAACCACCAAGCACAGTCAGGGCTGAACACGGTGTGAGACTTGGTTTTAGGGCCTCAGCCCTCCCTAGCACCCTCATCTAACCTCATCCCTCCTGTAAAAAGACAATGAGCACTTGCGCCTGGCTGGGGCCACCATCTGTAGCTGCCACTTGCTGACTCCTTCCCTGCACAAAGCCTCTCCCTGTCCTGAGGACAGACACGCACCGTCTGGGACTCTGGCCCTTGTTGGGGCAGATATGTATGCCCTGCTTGCCTCCTGATATATCTGAAACCCTTGGCACTCTAACCTGTTCAGCCCTAGAGGAGGGAAGGTAGGCCAAGGACCGGCTCCTACCAGGCCAAGAGTCCCCCTGGAATCAAAGTGCTGCACATGTGGCTTCTAGCACAGGCGACTCAGGTGGGCCTCAACCCACTGCCCCCAGCTTGCTGGGGCACTTGTTCAATGGCAAACCTCAGCCCTCAGCCTTGTCAGAGCCTCTTGCTCAGAATGTTAGGCTGTGTGGAGTCTGGGAGGTGTGCGTTTTAACTCTTCCAGGCCAGTGTTGGGACCAGGGTGAGGGCTCCTATTTCAGGTCTGTGGAAGATGGATGGGCTCTGAGTCTGGAGGCGGGGTGGGAGCGAGGGGGGCAAAAGCCTGTGGGCTCCAAGACTATGGTGGTAAAGAGTAGCAAGGCAATGGTGGGAGAAGGCCTGGGCAGCGGGACAGGTCAGTGTTGTCCTTGACAGTTTTGTGTGACACTCTATTCAGTTATTTTGGAGCCTGTGTACATGTGGGCCAAGATATGCAGTACTCATAGTGCTGTGTTTCAGGTTATAGCCAGTGTCTAGATTGGTGGTTTGGGTCAGTTCATGTAAGGGGGTTTGGGCAAAATGTGTGGTCTCAACCTGAATGTGGTGATACATGCCTGTAATCCCAGCACTTAGGAGGCCAAAATAGCAGGATTGCTATTTGAGGCTAGCTTGGCTACACAATAAGTTCAAGTCCAGCCTCAACTACACAGTGAGACCTTGTTTCAAAAAACAAACAAAACCAAAAACAAACTGTGTGACCTGACCAAGAAAAGGAAGGAGCAGGTAAGGGAGGGGAAGGGGAAGTAAAAAGAATTAAAATATATTATATACACATACCACCTCTCCATAATGAATATAATCATTACGTACCACAAACATGTACTAATAAAATTAAAAAATAAAAATAAGATTACTATTTTTTTTTGTCTTTTTCGTTTTTATCGGTACCAGGGATCGAACTCACGACTGCCTGCTTGCAAGGCAGGCGCTTATGCTGCTGAGCTAAATCCCCAGCCCCAAGATTACTATTTTTAAAAAAAATGTGTGGTCCAAATGTGTCAGCCTGTGGTCTATGTCTGCACATATGTCAGTCAGTGAGTATATCAACTGGTGTGTTTATGTCTTTTCTCTGGGTGTCCTGAGTCATTCACCACATAGAGTATATGCATACTTGTGCGTCCCTGGCAGGCTTAGCCCCTCTGGACTATCTCCAACCTCCATGGGTCCCTAGAAGATCAGGTTTGGAGGCTTGCTAGGAGCCTGGTAGGAGGGGATGGTGTGGCTGGGATGGGGAGGGGAGGGAGGCAGCAGTGTGCACTGAAAGCCTGGCACTGACGCTTCCCAGGCAGGCGAGTCCCAACACAGGCAGACAGGTGGGGCTGACCTGACAGGTTCCGGAAGCCGGGGGCAATGGGGCGGAGCATAGGTCTGACTTTAGGGTGGCAACAGGTTGGGGGCCCTGCCTCACACTGGGAGGGCCAGCAAGAGGCGTGTTGCTGGTATCTTCTTCCTGCTACAGCCAACTGGGGTGCAGGCAATGGAGCCTGCCGGCAGGTGAGACAACCAGGAAGCCAGGCATGTTCAGAAGCCTCGGGCCTGGGGGCACCCAGGGAATGGCAGGACCCCTGCGGAGCCGGGTGGAGGAACTGAAGCGGCCCTGGTGGCGGGAGAGCTCACCACTGGTGCTGCAGCACAGTGAGGCAGCTAGGCTGGCAGCTGATGCCCTCCTGGAGCGGGGTGAGGCTGCTTACCTGCAGGTCATCTCTGAGGAGCGGGAGCTGCCCTTCCTGAGCGCCCTGGACATAGACTACATGACCAGCCATGCACGCACAGGTCCTGAGCTCAGCGAGCCCCAGGGCCCAGAGGCTTCAGGGCCTGACCGCCTCAGCCTGCTCTCTGAAGTCACCTCAGGCACCTACTTTCCCATGGCCTCTGATGTAGACCCTCCAGACCTGGACCTGGGCTGGCCTGAGGTTCCACAGGCCACGGGCTTTAGCCCTACCCAGGCTGTGGTCCACTTCCAGAGGGACAAGACCAAGAACATCAAGGACTTGCTGCGTTTTCTCTTCAGTCAGGCCCGAAAGGTAAGCGGTTCATCTCTGCAGGCATTTACTTCAGAGGTATCCAGTGAGGGAGGGGGACCTGATCAAGGCTACACAGCAACTAAGATGCAGAATTGGATTAGAACTTTCCTATGGGATAGCAAGCTGAGAGAGGATAGGCATGTTTTTTATTTCCCTTGGTTAGCCCCTTGGCATTCAACAACATTATGTATAAGTGTAGAAAGGGCACAGACTTCTAGAACTCCACAATACCCCTGAAAGTAAAAGTGACGCTGTATATATGGCAAGGAGCCATATTCCTTGGGAAAAAGTTCGTAGCTTTCATCATATCCTCAAACTCTTATGACCCCCAAACTAAGAACCCAAACTTGCAGAACACTGGAGCCACTCCTTTGACTCAGAGGAAGAAACTGAGGCCAGGGAGGTGCTGGGCCTTGGTCATAGAGGTACTCGGGGTGCAGGAGGAAAGGGTCCCTGATTAAAGTTCTTGCTCCTCGCTGCAGCCCTGCTGTGTTTCCTGCTAGGCCTGAAGAGGGGAGGGGACATTGGTTTGTGAGGTTTATCTTGGTTTTAAGGCCTAGGCCTTTAGCTCTGCCCCAAAGAGGGAGGAGGGGAAGTTGCTGAGCTCAAGGCAAAGAGAATCAGGACAGCAGGTAGGGGTGGTCATGTGTGGAAAGACTGCAGTCACATAGCAACATGGCCTCACTCCTTGAGCCCCAGTTCTGCTCAGAGGACAGGGAATAGACACAATGGCTCCCAGCACGAGTGGAGGTATGGTAAGGCTCCAGAGCCTCGATGGCAAGCTTGCCTGTGCCCCAGGCAGGAGAGGGCCAGGCCCGATTGGCATCAGGAACAGGGTTATTAGGCTGTTGCTGTTGTCACCACCAGCCCCCTTTGATCTTTCCTGACTATTCTTGTTCCCCTCACTCCTGACGGGGCCTCTGCCACAGACTACAGCACCCCACAATGCCTTTTCTGCTTGCCCCCATTTAGACCCCACCAGCCCTGGGCTAGGAACTAACCTACTGGGTTGGGTTATCCCTAACTCCTTGAGTGACCTTGGGAAGTACTCCCTTCCCTGTGGCCCAATGTCCTCATTTTGTTATGAAGGCAGCAGGAAAGCCACATTTATTGAGCTTCTGTTGTGTCCAGAATTTTCACATTTAATTCCTGTAACTCAGAGATGCAGCTATCATTATCTCCATCTAGCACTGAGGAAGCTGAGGTTCTGGAGGTGACCTGTCCAGGAAGTGACAGAGTCTGGGTTTGAACCCAGGTCTGTGTCGCTCCAGAGCTGTAATGCTTTGTACCTTCTGATTCTTGCCCTGGCCCAGAACAGGATTATCTTAGCAGATACATGAAGTGGGAAGAAGGGGCAGATGGAGGATTGGGGGTGCCAGGAGCTACTCTGAGGTAATTTATATGGGAGGTACAAGCCCCAGTTCTCAATGGAGTGCAAAACACGGTTCCATGAGTATAAGATGTCACATCAAGCCTTTGCAGGAAAACTGAGGCAGGCTCGGCAAAGGTACTGAATATCCAATGACTGGCTTTTAGCTCTCACCCTTGAGAGAGGGCCTCAGACAGCTAGTCCCTAGGCCAGAGCCTGGGAGGGAGCTAGCAGGAGACTAGCCTGGGAAAGACAGCCTGGGTCTCGACATAGAGTGGGACTTTGGACTAGCACAGCTGATCCACAGGTATTTTTGAGGATCTGATGACAAATACTCCATCCACAGAAAAATGCACACAAAAACTTTCAAACAAGGGGCTCAAAACAGCCAAATCTCCCCATGCCCAGGTTAAGAATTCTGAGGTAGGCATCACTCAAATCCTGTTGATTCTCTCTTGTTCAGATTCTCTGGACTCCTGGTTTTCAGGCTTGCACTTTTCTTGGGAATTCAGGCTGGCCTGGATGTGAACAGAGCTCCAGGCAGGCTTAGCTTCCTCTCCTCTTCCAGGTGGTAGCTGTGGTGATGGATGTATTTACCGACATGGAGCTTCTATGTGACCTCATGGAGACCTCAAGCAGGCGTGGTGTCCCTGTATACCTCCTCCTGGCTCAGGAGCACCTGAGGCACTTCCTGGAGATGTGCTACAAGATGGACCTCAATGGGGGTCACCTGCCGGTTAGTGTGGGCTAAAGGCAGCAACCCAGGGTGGGAAGTCAGGAGGGCAGGAGAGCCATTTGGTAGCCAGAGAGCACTGAGGGAGACACTGGGCACAGGGTACCAAGTTCCTGTAGCTGGGGTCAGAGACATTGCTAGGATGGACATGGCTTCAGCTCTACTCTCTGAAGGCCAACCCTATAATGTCCTTCTACCCTTGGGCCAGAACATGCGTGTGCGGAGCACATGTGGGGACACGTACTGCAGCAAGGCAGGTCGCCGCTTCACTGGGCAGGCCCTGGAGAAGTTCATCATCATCGACTGTGAGCAGGTGATCACAGGCAGCTACAGGTGAGCAGGGGAAAGGAAGAGGAGTCTGGGGTTGTGCCATGGGCTGATGAGGGCATCCTGAAGTTTCTTCCATCTACATATCCATTTATCCCTTCAAACATGTTCTGAGCACCTGCCATGTGCCAGTTCCCCTGCAGGGCTCAGGCTAACGTGGGAGGAAGTCAGCAGAGGAACAGCCCACTCTAGTGGAATGACTACTTGAATGCCCTTGGCACAGAAAATTATATTGCACATGACAAATAGAAGGACTATAGGACCCTGGTTCCTGGTCCATTTTACACATGGGCCATTTAAGGCCTCGAGAGGGCAGCCATGTAAGCAAGTCCTCTAGGCAGGACTAGGGCGAGCACAGATTCTGGATTTGGAGCTCTGTGCTTTCAACCAAAGCTTCATGGGGACAGTCTTGGTCCACCTCCCAGCATGCTTCTCTGGTTATGATTCCTGTTGAGCCCCTGGCCTTGCACTTTTCATTCCTGACCCAGATCCTCTGCTCCCAGCTTCACTTGGCTTTGCAGCCAGGCCCACACTAGCATGGTGCTGCAGCTGAGGGGCCGCATTGTGGAAGACTTTGACCGGGAGTTCCGCTGTCTGTATGCTGAGTCACGGCCTGTGGAAGGCTTTTGTGGCAATGAAGATTCACTGTCTCCCCAAGTACCGCCTCCTCCCCCAGTTGCCCTTGCCTTTGGGCCTGGCATCCCAAGCCCTACATCCTCGCCCTCTAGCACCAGTCTCAGCAGTGTCAAGCGCTCACCTCTCAGGGGCCACCCTTCCTACCTTGCTCTACCAGGAGGTGGTGGCTGTAGTGACACAGCTATGGAGTCCTCACCCCCAGGCCCTTCTCACCGTGAAGGTGGTGACCAGCCTTTCCTACATCGACAGCTGTCAGACCCTAACCATAGCTCCCCTCACGTGCCGTATAGGGCTAACCTGGGCAAGCTGGGGGCATTCCCATGGTCCCAATCCTCCCCTGCCCTCAACCACAGTAGCCCCAGTCCTTTGACCCAGGCAGTGAGGTCACCTCTGCTCCCTCGACCTCGTCCTGTCCTCCACTTTCCCCGGGGATTCCCAGTTCTGTCCCGGCTCCCAGAGAATGGGCTTCCAGGAAGCCAGGAGCCTAGTGCCCCAAGAGGTCAGCGGATACTTGGCGCAGCCTTGGAGATGACAGAGGAGCAGAAGGCGTCTCTGAGCCAGAGCCATGGCCAGCTGGACCTTCTAGTCCCATTCCCTAGAGCCCGAGAGGGAAGTTTTGACCCCGAGGTTACTCCCAACTCAGGCTCCCATCGGTCAGATGAGCAGGCTCCAGAGGAAAGGCGGCTGTCCCTGAGCCACAGCTACAGTCAGCTGGATCTCCTGCCCCAGCCCCAGGGTACCAGAGGTGCCCCTGAGTCAGGTGGCCTCAGACATGGTGATGTTACCCTAGAGGACAGGAAGCTGTCTCCAAATCACAGCCATGGCCAACTGGACCTCCTGATACATGACTCCAAGCCCAAGGGCTCCAGAGGGCCTGCTGAAGCCAACTCCTCAGCTAGAGCTGGCAAGCAGGGTCTAGATGAGCAAAGAGAGACCCTGGGCCACAGACCGATGGACTTCATCACCAAGTTTGGTCCATTCCAGAGTGAAGGGCCTGGGTCCAATGGTCTCCCAGGACCAAGCCCTCCTCGAATTCCTGGAGTAAGCCCTGGAGATGAAAAACGGCTGACTCTGGGTCACAGCAAACTGGACCTCATCACCAAGTACCATCAGCTTCAGGGAGCCAGGCAGGAATCTGGGCCTGTCCTCTCTGGGGGCCTCACGGGTGGCCATCAGAACAGCAGTGGCAATGACCTGTCTGAGAATGAGAAACGGCTGACTTTGGGCCACAGCAAACTGGACCTTATCACCAAGTACCATCAGCTTCAGGGTGCCAGGCAGGAACCTAAGCCTGTCCTCTCTGGGGGCCTCACAGGTGGCCATCAGAATGGCAGTGGCAATGACCTGTCTGAGAATGAGAAACGGCTGACTTTGGGCCACAGCAAACTGGACCTCATCACTAAGCACAACAAGTCCAAGTTCAAGCTGCTCCGAAGTCGCTTTGAATCCTAGTCCTGCTTTCTCCATTCCAAGATTCAACTTGCTCAGGTTGCGGACTCCGGAGTGGGAGTATAAAAATGGGGATTCACAGTGAGGGGAGGCATCTAAAAGTCCAGGTTAGACACTTTCTGGACTCAAGATTCTCAAAATACACAGATACACATTCACACGCATGCACACACACAGAGTAAAGGGAAATCAGAATTACTGAGTACCTATTGTATGTCTCTGTGCCACACTTCAGACTAATTACTCTTCTCTTCCATCATACACACAACATCCTAAAAGACGGATTTCCTTTGGTACATAGTTACAGGGTGACAGATAATATCTTCTCTTTTTACAAATGTGTAAGCTGAGGCCCAGGTAGTTTGGATGGCCTAATTGGATGTGGGTCAAAATAAATGATGAAGTAAAAACGTCTGCCAGACCTGTGTCCACTGGTTTGGTTTTAAAGACTGTGATTTTCATACACGTGGCACATAGTATCTATAGTTCATATGTCTCATTCACACAAAATACAAACAGGACAGAAGTCCCCAAATGCCCACACACAGTATACTGACGGAGTATGGTGAACACTCGTATATTGTACACCCAGCAGCATACAGTAAGTACACATAGGTCACTGTGATAAGTCTAAACACTTGATAATTTAGTTGAGTTTACTGAATAAATGTCATTCAGAAAAATGATTACACAAAATACACGCCGGTAGTGTACACTACAGATCCCCTCACTATACACAAACTGCAAACATTAACATGACTCAAAACATAAACACACACACACACCCTAACTACTATCTGCTTATACTTAAACTGTGCCACCAGTCTTTTACCGTACATGCCCTGGGTTGACAGATAAATCAAACCCAGACTCTGGAGAATGAGGATTAAATGTGTATGCCACAGGGAGGAAGATACGGCTGTGTCAAATGAAAAGCTAATCAGAGGATAAGTCATGGAGACGCTGGAGAAGATTCCTTAGAAAAGTCAGGCCTTAAATGGCAGCGAGGTTTCAGAAACACGGAGGAGAAAAATTCTTAATAGAGCAAGTCACATGAAGGAGGACCAAGAAAGGAATGACAGGTCTGAGAACAAATAGAGCCTGTAGATATTCAGATACATGCATACATACATCGTGTTGCCCAGGGCCTCTTACAGCAGGCTGGAATAAATTGTGTACCACCTGTTTGGAAGGCAGCATGTGATACAAATGAATAAAGACAGACATGGCTAGAACCAGATATGACAGTTTGTTGTGTCTTAAAAAATACCAGGTTATGGTCCTGAGCTCAATTCCCCGTACAAAAATAAATGAAGTTAGGGGCTGGGGATTTAGCTCAGTGGCATAAGCGTCTGCCTTGCAAGCAGGCAGTTGTGAGTTAGATCCCTGGTACCGGTAAAAAGGAAAAAGACAAAATAAATAAATAAATAAATGAAGTTATAAACAGAAAGCAAAACAAAAAACAACAGAGAACATTCCAGAGAACCTTCAGAGATCAGTAAGTTGGGTAGTGGGCCTGTACTGCACGTGACACACGCACACATCAATACCATCATCCATCATCATTTTGCTAAGGGGAGCTTCAAACAGCCAGTAACAAATTGTGGGTCTTTTTCCTGTGCTCCTCATAGTCATGGGCAGATCAAGCAGCAGCCTGGCATGTCCTAAGAAACACTTTATGGAAACGCGAGTTAGGGATGGGAAAAGGACATCATTCAGGCTGATTTTGGGGGCAGAGGGTCCACTGCAGGAGAGTGGATGCTCCAAAGAGGGTTTTAGGCAGGGGGCGCCAAAGCCCTCACTGTGCCATTCTGAGATTCTGGGACTTTTCTAGATTCTACCTACCAAATGCAGGCTAAGTTCATCCTGTCCAGGAGAGCAAGGTCTCTGGCCAACACCACCCTCTCCAGGAAGAAGGTGGCTGCTGAGTGAGTGATAGAACATGCGTGAAAGGCATACGGGGAAGCATGCCGGCCCCCCACATCCTCGCCCAACCTGGACCCCTGCCTCTTCAATCTGAACCTAATCCATTCATCCTCAGTCTTCAGCCTGTTTTCCTGTGCTAGTACCTACAGCCAAGCATCCTGCAGTCTGTGATTGGTCTCAATTCTCCCTACTGGACACCTTCCCCCGCTTAACGTCAGCCACCCCAGCTTTAGCTCCAGATCTCACTCCTCAGCCCTTCCCTGTCGCCAGGACCGCGCACCGGGACCTCACAGCGCAGAGCAAAGCGGAGTCCATTCCCCTCTAAACCAGCCCTACCACCCCCTGCTTTATTTCAGTAAATATCCAGCAGCCCACCTTCTGGGAGGCGGCTCCGGCTCCTCCTCTCCCTCTACCTGGTGTCACACCCGCCAGCCACAGGTCTTAGTCACCTGAACCTCCCAAAAAGCTCCAGGGAGCACGAACGAACGAGCCAATGAGCGCAGGCGAGCTTGCGGGGAGCGAGGCCAGGCGGGGCGCGGCGCAGAGCTTTTGCAGCCATAGAGTCCTCCCCCTGGGAGGAGCTAGAGGGGCCGCATCAGTGGCTGGGGCGCAGGCTTCTCCCGGAAGTCTCTTAGGGCCGGGGCGGAAACGGAGAGCTGTTTGCGAGGGGGGTAGTGGAGTGTGGATTTCTGTGTAGCCAGGTGAGCTGGTGTGAAGGGAGACCGTTGGGGTCAGCTTCGGGGCCCTGGTGGGAAAGAGGAGCCTGACGACTTGGGTCCGAGTTCGACGGGCTCAGTGGGCGGGGCCCGAAATCTGACTTCTTAGAAGGGCAGGTTCGCGACGATCCTGAGGGGAGGGGTCCCCCGAGACGTAGGACTTCTGGTATCTGGTCCGTGGAGCTGAACTCGCGGCGGGGGACCCTCCAGGCCTCCCTCATGGCGGTGCGAGCGTCTTTCGAGAACAACTGTGAGATCGGTTGCTTTGCCAAACTCACCAACACCTACTGCCTGGTGGCCATCGGGGGATCCGAGAACTTCTACAGGTGCAGCGGAGCGGGAGGGTTTCGGGAGTGGGGAGCTCCGGCTGAGTGTGTCCGGGCTGGTGACCTCCGAGTCTGTGTCCCTGCAGCGTGTTCGAGGGCGAGCTCGCCGATACCATCCCCGTGGTGCACGCGTCCATCGCCGGCTGCCGCATCATCGGGCGCATGTGTGTGGGTAAGGCATGTGGAGGGCGCCTTGCGAGAGTAGAGTCTCCAAGCACCATGAATTATTAGTCATATCGCTGGAGAGAATTCGGAGTGACCTAGGAATTTCAAAGTCTTCGTTCGTTATCTCCCTGGAGTATGGTGTATCAGGCCGGAGTGGGACCCAGTACAATGGGCAACAGATCAAGGACAACTTCTGAAAAAAACTTCTGGAGAATAGTCAGATAACATTAACTGCATTTGGTCGTTCTCATTTCCTCTTCACGACACTGAGAGGTAGGAATTATACTAAGTGGACTGATAGGAAGCTGAGACTCAGAAATCTATGTGACTCACCGTGTAGCACACCTAATGTGGAAGAGGATTTTAATTGGATCTCTTCCTTGTCACTTACTATGGACATGCTTCTTTCTGGTTTTGAGCATCCACTTCTGAGTCTATGAAATGACTTTAAGAGTGTGGGTCATCCTATTCAGTTCTACTCAAATCTTCAGTTCCCTTTTCCACATCTCTGAATGGCTTCTCTAGTCTCTAACCCCTCAACATTGTTAACTCTGGTCCTTTTTTTAAGCCCCCCCCCCCTGACTCATTACTGCTTTGTTTTGTCCCTTAGTTTTGTACACTGGAATAATGTAGATGTCTCGTCTCACCTTTTTTCTTTTACTTTAAAAAGTGTTAAACATGATAATCTTTAAGTGTTTTCTGATGTATTTAAAACACCTGATCTTAAACCAGGCCTTTGGGAGTTGAAGCAATGTTTGACAAAATAAGGAAGAATATACTTTGGTTCTTTGTGTATTATAAAGAGAGAAGCTCAGAATTTTAGACAGTGAAGAATTGGGGCCTTCTGTGGGTAGAAGTTTAGCCAATAATTGTCTTAGTGTAATTTGTTCTTTCTTGTTCCTATGCGATCTGTTTTAGGTAAGTATCCTGGGGTGTATTCATACATTCTGATGATAAGTATTTAGGCAGTTTTGTATTTGGTCTGGTAGGAATAATATGTTTATGTAAGTATGATGTGTACATATTTCTGTGGGATATATATAATACAGGACTTAGGAAGGGAATGGAAGAATCACAGGTGGTTTTACTGTTGTGAGGAAGATGATGTCGGTAATTTATCTGAAGTGATTGATCAATCTGAAGTGATTCTCCCTAGCTTGTTAAAGTTTCATTTGTTCTACGTGTCTCTGCTGACACATGGTATTGACAGTCATTTTAAAATTTTGCCATTTTGGTGGCTTATGTTAGCTAAGTTTTTGTTTCTCTTATTTTGCTGGGGAATGAGTTCAGTCCATAGCTCAACTCATGGCAGTGGAGACTCAGTGAAGTGCTGTATCCATAGATTATATCTACAGTCCAGCTGAATTTATAAGCAGCAAAACATACAGCTCATACCAAAGGCCATTTCTGTTTGTCTTTTCCCCTCCATTTGATGATGAGGAAATGAGTAAGTCTTGTTGAGATAGATTCCTGAATCATCTTGGGCCCGCTCAGGGTACCTGGTCCTTTTTTTTTTTTGTTACCTGGAATCGAACTCCGAACCTCACACCTGACAGGGGCAGGTGCTGCACTGCTCAATTACATATATGGATCAGTGGACCAGAGGGCTGGGGTCTGAAACTAAAGCCATCCTGGAGAAGCTCATTGGCCTGGGCGCGGCTGGCTGTATCTTGATCCCTGAGGTCCCAGAAACATGTCCTTATTCATGGTCTGTGTTCTCCCCACCCTCCCATTTGGGTCTCCCCAGGGAACAGGCACGGGCTCCTGCTGCCCAACAACACCACTGACCAGGAGCTGCAGCACATTCGCAACTGCCTCCCAGACTCAGTGCAGATCCGGCGGGTGGAGGAGCGGCTCTCAGCTCTGGGCAACGTTACCACCTGCAATGACTACGTGGCCTTGGTCCATCCAGACCTGGACAGGGTGAGGTAGCCTGACTTGGCCAGGAGCCACAGGACCAGCATCAGCTGCGATTAGCTACCATTTTTACCCCATAGGCAGAAATTAGCCTCATCTCTGTGGTTTCTGTGTATAGCAGGCTATCAGTAAGAACAGGCCTCGGTGGTATGGTCAGTGTCGGAAGCTAGGAGACCATTAATTCTTCAGGGTTAGGAGATTTGGGGGGAGAGACCAAGTATAGGCCGAGACGGATGACTGACGGTTGAATTGGAGGGTGTGTTAGCGAGAGAGGGTGACATGGAGGCCAGCCCGTGTTCAGGGTATGCATGGGTCTCAGGCTTGAGAGCTGGCCCAGACTCTGTGCTAAGCTGTAACGTACCCTTTGCCCAAGTGAGGTTTCCACGTGCAGCTATATAGTAGAGAAATGAGGGGCCCCAGGTTCCGGCGTGAAGGGCGCCAGTTTCTTGGCCTATCTGTCTTGAGCCCTGAGCAGCGGACTCTTTGACTGACAGGAGACAGAAGAAATCCTGGCTGATGTGCTCAAGGTGGAAGTCTTCAGACAGACAGTGGCTGAACAGGTGCTAGTGGGAAGCTACTGTGTCTTCAGCAATCAGGGCGGGCTGGTGCATCCCAAGACTTCAATCGAAGATCAGGATGAGCTGTCTTCTCTTCTCCAGGTCCCCCTTGTGGTAAGTCTTCCTACACCCTGGCCCCTGTCTCTTGTTAAGACAGATGCCTTTGCCCAGATTCTGGAATCTATGTCCTCAACCACCCTAGTTTGGGATCAGGGTCCAGGTTCTGGGCACAGGCTTTGGGAAGAGTCCTCATTGGGGTGGGCAGAGACTTTGGCCGCTGTGCTGTGCTGTGCCCCATGTTAGGCCCAATTTTGGCAGGCGGGCACTGTGAACCGAGGCAGTGAGGTGATCGCTGCGGGGATGGTGGTGAACGACTGGTGTGCCTTCTGTGGGCTGGACACAACCAGCACAGAGCTGTCAGTGGTGGAAAGCGTCTTCAAGCTGAATGAAGCCCAGCCTAGCACTGTCGCCACCCGCATGCGTGATTCTCTCATCGACAGGTATGTGGGTTAGGGTGTGGGCTTACTTTTCCTTTGAGAGTAGGGAACTAGATTCCTCGTAGCATGGGAACTAAGTTATGTTTCTCTTGGTATGTGGTCTTCAAAGGTAAGCGTGCATCTGCAGAAACTGAGCAATCATAGGACACAGCCAGCAAACATTTCTTGAGCATGTGCTCATCCTTACCTTTAAGGATTCAGCTCTTGAGACAGAACTTTCTGCTGGTCCTTGTAACTATATTCTTCTTTTCTGTATTACTACAAATGGAACCCTGAACTTACACTGAGCTGTATTTCCAGCTTTCTTTTTTTTTTTTAAATAATGACACAGAACTTCACTTAGTTGCTGAGTTGCCCAGGCAGGGCTCAAACTTGTACCCTCTTCCCTCAGCCTTAAAGAGTCTTAGGATTACAAACATGGACTATCCTGCTTGGCTTGTCCTTATTTGATTTCTGGCCATGTTTTGCAATTTTTTTTTTTTTTAATTGGTAATGGGGATTGAACTCATGGCCGGGCACTTGTAAGGCAGGCACTTATGCTACTGAGCTAAATTGCCAGCCCTGTTTTGCAAGTTGAATTTGTGCTGTATTGGTATCTCCAACCAGTAACACAGGATCTCAAGACAGGACAGAGCTGTTATGGCTAGGAAAGGTGGGGAGACTAGTATAAAATGCTGTGGAGGCATGGGGATTTGGGTACGTACCTGTAACCCAAACTTCCAGGAGGATCACAGAGGGCTAGGGTGCCAGGTCTGCATTGTGAGTTCAGGTCCTGCATGAGTCAGGCCCTAGGTTCCTTCCTGAGTGCCTCAGGAGAAAAACCCAGAACCTTTACTTGTTCACCAGTGGTGATGACAGAGGCAGTGTGGGTCCCAAAATGCACATCAGAATCACCCAGGGTAGCTTATTTTTTAAAACTAATACAACACGAAAACAAGGCATGGTGGCACACATGAGTACTTAGTACTCTCCTTAGTACTCTGGGAGGGCTGAAACAGGAAAATCTCAAGTTTGAGCCCAACCTGGGCAACTTGCCAACTTAGTGAGACCCTTTCAAAATAAGAAATGGGTTAGCTCACCAGCACCACCACCAAAAAACAAAAGCCCAACTTGGGTCCCACCTAAGCTATATAACATGGCCCAAGGAGATCCCTGATGGATATATGTGAGCTACATCCCTACCAGGCAATAGTGATGTGGTGATGAGTAGTAATATTTCCTGTTCTTTTGCAACATTGAATCTTATAAGGAAGAAAGTACTTACACAATTTATCATTTAATTAAACAACAAAACTCCTTTCAATAGAAAAATTTCAGTGAAGTGATGGTTGATACCTATCAAAAATTAAAGGAAATGTTTCATGTAATGGCAGAAGTTAGAAACTGCCACTGAAGCTGGGCAGAATCACTGCATTCCTTAGGAGGGGTCAGCCTTTTTCTAGTATTGTGCTCTCCTTCCTTGTACAGAAATGGGTATTGGAACAGAAACAAGAACACTCACTAGTGTCTTTATTTGTGGGCATGTTTTGTTTGAGGTATGCATGATTCCTCAGGATGAAGATGGTCAGGGTTTCTAAAATATGTACTTCAGGGCTGGGGATTTAGCTCAGTGGTACAGTGCCTGCCTGGCAAGCGTGAGGTCCTGAGTTTGATTTCCAGTGCCCAAAAAAAAAAAAGAGTATGTACTTCAGTTCTGTAATCATCCATATGATTTTCATTTTCGATGAGAATGTTTTCAACTGGGTGCAGTGACATAGGCTTGTGTAATTCCCGAAGTCCTAAGAGGCTGAGGCAGGAGAATCACAAGATCAAGCCCAGCTTGGGCAACTACTTAGAGACTGTGTGTCACAATAAAAATATTAAAAGAAAGAAGTTGTCAATTGTAACTCAGAACAGGTTTGTTTTTCAATCTAGTTTTCATAGATTTTTGTTTGGCTAGCACTAAAAAGGAGCATTTGGAAATGAAGCCAAAGTCCTGGCCCCAGCCCTGCCATAGGGACTTATGTTCTAGGTACAGCCTTTCCTTGGAGCAAGCTCCCTTTTCTAAAATTGTGAGGCTCTATGCTTAGTAAACAAATAATTAGTTAAGCAACTTGCTGCAATATAAGCAGCAGGAATCCATCTTAGTTTTTAAACACTGAGAACTCCAGACTAGACTGGGTAACATAGGAAGCAGTCAAACCCAGAATCGGGGTGGGTTTAGCCGGGTCTATGAGAGGCTCTTCAGGGCGAGCTAGAACAAAGGTCCAGGGTGGGGTGAGGTGTGCCCTGTGAGGCGGCTCCTGACTGTGCTCCTCCTTCTCTCTGCAGCCTCACCTGAGTCACCTTCCATGGTGCACCCAGCCTCTGGACCTTGGCTCCTTCCCCCATGCCTCACCTAGCCTGTACTTGCTGCTGCCAGGAAGGTGTGGCAGAGGGATCAGTGAAACTGAGTGGCTGGATGCCCAGCCCTGCACCAGTGCCATCTTCTGAATCTGTTGTTCCTGAAAAACCCTCCTGTCATTCTGGCTGTCAGTGCTCTGGCTCCTGAATGAGGACTCTGCTGTTCTGGGGTACCCCATTAAAGGGCGCCTGCCTCTGGCCACTCTGAATGTGCTGTTTGTGGGTGTCAGCTGTGCCATACCCTCTCCCATTGTTAAGGACTTCGGGAAGGCTGTCAGAGAGAGACGTACACACAGCCTTCTCTGTCATCCATAGGAGGCTTCATCCCAGGCCAAGAGGAAGAAGCAGTCTCACTTTTTTCTACCTAACTGAGAATCTGATCTGTCTGGGCATTCTTGCTCTTCTTGACCTAAGGAGGATGGAGATATCTGGCCTGGCTTCTGGGTCTCTTGTCACCAGAGCTTAAGCTGGTAGTGAGCTCTCATGGGAAAGTGGAGGCAGTGCCATGAGTCTCTCGATTGTACTGGGATAGAATCTACAGGTCTCTGCCCTGGGGTTCTGGGACAGGATTGGCTGATTTCTTTATTTGGATCTTGCCCTTGGAGAAAAAAATCACTGGTTTCTATCTTTGTGGCCTGAGGACTAGATCGCTGCAGCATTTATCACACCCAGCACAGTAATCTCACTTGATTAGCCTGGTCCTACCTACAGGTGGCTCAGCTGACTGAAATGAAGTTGGAGCAAGGTGTGGACCTGGCAAGCAGCAGGGTCTAGATGAGTGAAGACAGGCCTTGGGCCACAGCCAGCTGGCATGCATCAAGTTTGGCCCATACCCAAGTGAGCCTGGGCCCAGGGGTCTCCCAGAACAAATTCTGCTCTCAGTGTTGGAGTACGCTCTGGGGATAAGAAAGGGTTGACCCTGAGCCATAGCAAACGACTGCATCCCCAGTTATCAACTGCAGGGGGCTAGGCAGAGAGCTAAACCTCCCAAGGGTCTCACTGTTGGCCATCAGAGTGGTAGCACTGATCTGTATGGGAATAAGAAATGGCTGATCCTGGGCCACAGCAAAAACCTCATCATTAAGTTCAAGACGCTCTGAAATCACTAAGGGTCCTAAGCCTGCTCCCAGTAGAGACAGATCATTCTGAGACTTGACTTGTACAGGTCCAGACCTTAGGATTCGACCTTGAGAGATTGGAGATACATAGGGAGGGGTGGCATCAAGAAGCCAGGTCAGATACACATTTGCCTCGAGATCCTTACACAAAATGGAACACTGAATTATTGAGTGCCTGCTTTATGCCACTACTGGGCACTTCACACCAGTTGTTCTCACTACAAGGTAGACCTGTTGGTGTAGAGTTTACGGGATAAGTTTTATTTTTTGGTACTGGAAATTCAACGGGGACCTTGTGCTTGCCAGGCAGGCACTGTGCTGCTGAGCTATATTCCTAGTGCTAGATAAGTATTATAATCCCCTACTTCATAAACAAATGTGGAAGTTGAAGTCCAGGGGATTTGGCTGACATAGTTGGAAGCAGGTGTAAATAAAAGGCAGAATACTGACCTTGCCAGACCTGTGTTCTCTGGTTCTAAAGATTATGGCTTTTGGGGCTGGAGATTTAGCTCAATGGCATAAGCGTCTGCCCTGCAAGCAGGCAGTCGTGAGTTTGATCCCTGGTACCGATAAAAAGGAAAAAGACAAAAAAAAAAAATTTATGGTTTTTATACAGACATGGCGCCATACATTGATATGTCCACATTAATGCAAGATACACTACAGAAATGCCCCTAATACTCATACCATATACATGCCACATTGATAGGGTAGGGTACACAGCCACAAACTAACTGCACATGTAAGTACACACAGATCCCTGTGCTAACCCCAGACATCCAGGACTTGAAAATTTAATGGAATGTACTAAATATAAAGTGCCATTTACCTAAATGATTACTTAAACACCTGCTTTTCAGTGCATACCATGAACCCCCTTAGGAGGTAAAAACCACACAACCCAGCTGTGTCATACACTGTATTCCCACACTGGGAGGCCACAGCAGGACGCTCATGAGTTCCAGCCCAGCCTGGCCAACCTAGACCTCATCTCAAAAAAGGTGCCTGAGGGATGTACCTCACTATGAAACTCCTGGGTTTAATCTCCACTATGAGAAAGTATCCTTAATGTATTGTTTCTCTTGTATGAGAAGCCAAAGGATAAGTAAGGAGCATAATGGAGGATAGATACTTGGAAGTAGGAAGAACATGTTAAAACTGGTAAGGGAGGTGCCCGGGATTAGCTCAAGGGCAGGGCTCTTGTCTGGTAAGCCATAGATCCTGAGTCCAACATCCGGTTCCCGAAAGGGTGGGAGGAACAAAGGAAGTGGGCGGGGGAAAGGAAGTAAAGGGGGAAAAAATGGCAACGGTTTTATTTTTTGGAACCAGGGATCAAACTCATGACCTCACGCTTGCCACTCCACAACAGCTTTTACACATGGGAAGAAGGGGGATGGAGAAGAATTAAGATGTTTAGGTACAGATTATCTATGATGAATGTGATCAACATGGATGACAAATTTTTTTTTTGGCAAATTTGTACTAATAAAAAATAAACTTATGAGGGCAGGGATGTAGTTCAGTGGCAGAAGTGCCTGCCTGGCAAGCACAAGGTTCTGAATTCAATTCAGGTACCCCAAAAAAAAAAAAAAAAAAAAGTTATAAAAAGAAAACAAACACTAAACAAAAACCCTCCAGAGATTACTAAGTTGGGCAGTGGGTCTGTACTGCACGTGGACACATGGCACACACCAACACCATCATCATCTTGCTCAGGGTTTCTTAAAACAGCCAGTAACAAATTGTGGGTCTTTTTCCTGTGCTCCTCATAGTCCTGTGCTGGCACTGTACACATGATACAAATCAATAAAGGAAGCCATGGGCAGATCAAGCGGCAGCCTGGCATGTCCTAAGAAACACTTTATGGAAACGCAAGTTGGGGATGGGAAAAGGACACCATTCAGGCTGATTATGGGGGCAGAGGGTCCACTGCAGGAGAGTGGATGCTCCAAAGAGGGTTTTAGGCAGGGGGCGCCAAAGCCCTCACTGTGCCATTCTGAGATTCTGGGACTTTTCTAGATTCTACCTACCAAATGCAGGCTAAGTTCATCTTGTCCAGGAGAGCAAGGCCCCTGGCCAATACCACCCTCTCCAGGAAGAAGGTGGCTGCTGAGTGAGTGATACAGCATGCCTGAGAGGCACACGAGGAAGCATGCCGGCCCCCAGCATCCTCGCCCAACCTGGACCCCTGCCTCTTCAATCTGAACCTGATCCATTCATCCTCAGTCTTCAGCCTGTTTTCCTGTGCTAGTACCTACAGCCAAGCATCCTGCAGTCTGTGATTGGTCTTATTTCTCCCTACTGGACACCTTCCCCCGCTTAACGTCAGCCACCCCAGCTTTAGCTCCAGATCTCACTCCTCAGCCCTTCCCTGTCGCCAGGGCCGCGCACCGGGACCTCACAGCGCAGAGCAAAGCGGAGTCCATTCCCCTCTAAACCAGCCCTACCACCCCCTGCTTTATTTCAGTAAATATCCAGCAGCCCACCTTCTGGGAGGCGGCTCCGGCTCCTCCTCTCCCTCTACCTGGTGTCACACCCGCCAGCCACAGGTCTTAGTCACCTGAACCTCCCAAAAAGCTCCAGGGAGCACGAACGAACGAGCCAATGAGCGCAGGCGAGCTTGCGGGGAGCGAGGCCAGGCGGGGCGCGGCGCAGAGCTTTTGCAGCCATAGAGTCCTCCCCCTGGGAGGAGCTAGAGGGGCCGCATCCGTGGCTGGGGCGCAGGCTTCTCCCGGAAGTCTCTTAGGGCCGGGGCGGAAACGGAGAGCTGTTTGCGAGGGGGGTAGTGGAGTGTGGATTTCTGTGTAGCCAGGTGAGCTGGTGTGAAGGGAGACCGTTGGGGTCAGCTTCGGGGCCCTGGTGGGAAAGAGGAGCCTGACGACTTGGGTCCGAGTTCGACGGGCTCAGTGGGCGGGGCCCGAAATCTGACTTCTTAGAAGGGCAGGTTCGCGACGATCCTGAGGGGAGGGGTCCCCCGAGACGTAGGACTTCTGGTATCTGGTCCGTGGAGCTGAACTCGCGGCGGGGGACCCTCCAGGCCTCCCTCATGGCGGTGCGAGCGTCTTTCGAGAACAACTGTGAGATCGGTTGCTTTGCCAAACTCACCAACACCTACTGCCTGGTGGCCATCGGGGGATCCGAGAACTTCTACAGGTGCAGCGGAGCGGGAGGGTTTCGGGAGTGGGGAGCTCCGGCTGAGTGTGTCCGGGCTGGTGACCTCCGAGTCTGTGTCCCTGCAGCGTGTTCGAGGGCGAGCTCGCCGATACCATCCCCGTGGTGCACGCGTCCATCGCCGGCTGCCGCATCATCGGGCGCATGTGTGTGGGTAAGGCATGTGGAGGGCGCCTTGCGAGAGTAGAGTCTCCAAGCACCATGAATTATTAGTCATATCGCTGGAGAGAATTCGGAGTGACCTAGGAGTTTCAAAGTCTTCGTTCGTTATATCCTTGGAGTATGGTGGCCCTCAGCACTGAGTGGGACCCAGTTTGAGTGTAAACAGAACAGTGACAAGCTCTGCCAAAGATAAGTTGAGAATAATAGATACAAATGATAGCCAGAATAAATAGCATAGGTTCAGTATAGCACATCTGTATCCCAGCTATTTACTTAGAATATGGGGCAGAAGGATGAAGAGCTGGTTCCCAGCACATGTTTCTTAGGGAGACACCGTCTAAATGTGCAAAGGGTAGGGTCAGTCAGAATTAGAGGCTTCCCTAGTATATACTATCCCCTGGGTCATTTTGTAGGAGCACCACAAAAATATAAAAAGAAGAAAAAAGAAGTACTTTTATTTTGGTTCTCAAGAAGTAGGAATTAGTGTGTTAATGTAACTCATGATGAAAGGAGGTTAGAGAATCTAGGTGACTCACAAAGTACCACTCCTAATGTGGAGGATTTTAATTTTATCTTTACCACCACTATCAACAAGCTCCTTCCTGGTTCTGAGCATCCAGTTCTGCCTCTGCGAAATTATATGCCCAGAGTCTGGGTTATCTTATTCTACATTTAAATCCTTAGACCCCTTTTCCATGTTTTTAGTGGCATTTCTGCTCTCTCATCTCTTAGTATTGTTCACTGTTTCCATTCCTCCTTGCTTTAAGGTGGCTTTCTGTCCTGTTACTGCCTATCCTTATTTCTTAGTTCTGCAGATTGAGGTCACAGGAGTCTTATTTTTTTACTTTTAATTTGAAAAATCTTAACATACTTGATTTCTATTCTTTGATTCACTTCAAACACTTTGATCACAGAATCAACAGAAAAACACCCTAATCTCTAACCATCCTCATTGGATTTGAAGTAAATTCAAAGAGCAAAGATGAATTTCACCTAGCCTTTATTGTATTATAAGAGAGCAACTCTTAAGTTCAGAGTGGTGTCCTTAAAAAGGATACACAGAATTTTAGCCATAGTTTTCATAAGGTAATTGAATTTTGCTCCTTTTTGCTGCAGTATGGTAGGTATAGTTGGTGGATATTTCAGAGTGGACTTCATTCTGTTGGTTCTTAGCTGGTCTTTTAGCAGTAGTGTGCCACTGTATAAATATGAACATATAGGTATCTCTCTCTTGGATCTATAATATCTACAAATTAGTCTACATAGGTATTCTCCATTCTATAGTATAAAAGTTAGGCAGAGTCAAAATTTAAAGTGACTGGTGTAGTAGATAATACTACAAGATTATCTAAAGTGATTGACCAGTTCATTCTATCAGTGTATGAGTTTCATTTGGTCCACATTTTGACAGCATTTGATATTCACATGCAATTTAAGTTTTAGCTACTCTTGTAAGTATATAGCAATAGCTACACGTAGGTTTGTTTTTGTTTTTTTTTTGTACCAGGGATTGAATTTAAAACCTAATGCTTGCCAGGCAGATGCTTATGCTGATGAGCTAAATCCCCAGCGTAAGTGGAAAAATATACAACTCATGCCCAAGGTCATTTCCACTAGTCTTTTTCTCTCTTGTTGATGGGAAATGAGTAAGGCTTATTCAGATAGATTCCTGCCATCTTGGGCATGCCCACGGGGCTTGGTACTCTTGTGTGATGTATGGATCAGTGGACCAGAGGGCTGGGGTCTGAAACTAAAGCCATCCTGGAGAAGCTCATTGGCCTGGGCGCGGCTGGCTGTATCTTGATCCCTGAGGTCCCAGAAACATGTCCTTATTCATGGTCTGTGTTCTCCCCACCCTCCCATTTGGGTCTCCCCAGGGAACAGGCACGGGCTCCTGCTGCCCAACAACACCACTGACCAGGAGCTGCAGCACATTCGCAACTGCCTCCCAGACTCAGTGCAGATCCGGCGGGTGGAGGAGCGGCTCTCAGCTCTGGGCAACGTTACCACCTGCAATGACTACGTGGCCTTGGTCCATCCAGACCTGGACAGGGTGAGGTAGCCTGACTTGGCCAGGAGCCACAGGACCAGCATCAGCTGCAATTAGCTACCATTTTTACCCCATAGGCAGAAATTAGCCTCATCTCTGTGGTTTCTGTGTATAGCAGGCTGTCAGTAAGAACAGGCCTCAGTGGTATGGTCAGTGTAGGAAGCTAGGAGACCATTAATTCTTCAGGGTTAGGAGATTTGGGGGGAGAGACCAAGTATAGGCCGAGACGGATGACTGACGGTTGAACTGGAGGGTGTGTTAGCGGGAGAGGGTGACATGGAGGCCAGCCCGTGTTCAGGGTATGCATGGGTCTCAGGCTTGAGAGCTGGCCTAGACTCTGTGCTAAGCTGTAACGTACCCTTTGCCCAAGTGAGGTTTCCACGTGCAGCTATATAGTAGAGAAATGAGGGGCCCCAGGTTCCGGCGTGAAGGGCGCCAGTTTCTTGGCCTACCTGTCTTGAGCCCTGAGCAGCGGACTCTTTGACTGACAGGAGACAGAAGAAATCCTGGCTGATGTGCTCAAGGTGGAAGTCTTCAGACAGACAGTGGCTGAACAGGTGCTAGTGGGAAGCTACTGTGTCTTCAGCAATCAGGGCGGGCTGGTGCATCCCAAGACTTCAATCGAAGATCAGGATGAGCTGTCTTCTCTTCTCCAGGTCCCCCTTGTGGTAAGTCTTCCTACACCCTGGCCCCTGTCTCTTGTGCCTCAGATGCCTTTGCCCAGATTCTGGAATCTAGGTCCTCACCCACCGTAGTTTGGGATCAGGGTCCAGGTTCTGGGCACAGGCTTTGGGAAGAGACCTCATTGGGGTGGGCAGAGACTTTGGCCGCTGTGTTGTGCTGTGCCCCATGCCAGGCCCAATTTTGGCAGGCGGGCACTGTGAACCGAGGCAGTGAAGTGATCGCTGCGGGGATGGTGGTGAACGACTGGTGTGCCTTCTGTGGGCTGGACACAACCAGCACAGAGCTGTCAGTGGTGGAAAGCGTCTTCAAGCTGAATGAAGCCCAGCCTAGCACTATCGCCACCCGCATGCGGGATTCTCTCATCGACAGGTATGTGGGTTAGGGTGTGGGCTTACTTTTCCTTTGAGAGTACGGAACTAGATTCCTCGTAGCATGGGAGCTAAGTTATGTTCCTCCTGGTATGTGGTCTTCAAAGGTAAGCGTGCATCTGCAGATACTGAGCAATCATAGGACACAGCCAGCAAACATTTCTTGAGCCTTACCTTTAAGGATTCAGCTCTCAAGGCAGAACTTTCTGCTGGTCCTTTTTATTTGATCACTGACTGTGTTTTGCAGTTTGTATTTGCACGTGTGTTGCTATCTCAACCATTGCCCAAGACCTGAGACAGAAGACAGATGCTGTTGGCTAGGGAAGTTTAGAAGGTACTCCAAAATGCTGAGGAAGCTGGCACACACCTGTAGTCCCAGCACATGGAAGGCTGAGGCAGAAGTATCACTGCCAGTTCGAAGCCAGTCTGGACTACACAGTTACTTCAAGGCTAGCCTGAGCTGCATAGCAAGGCCTTGTCTCAAAAACTAAACAAGGAAAACATTGGGGAGACTTCTGATACCTAAGGAGTTCTTGAACAAATTGGGGTGGAGCTTGCCTCAGACTCAGAGTCTAGTTATTTGTGGGTTACAAAAACAAAGACAGGATCCTTACCCTGGAGATTCAAAGGTGTTAGATTTAGAATCTTTTTCGAAGAGCAGGTGGTTGGTAGTTCCACCTTCTCTCACATACTCCTATGAGGACTTTAGTTGTACCTGTCTAGTCCTGAGCAGAGACTCTCGAGAAATCATGGCGAACCTTTTAGAATTTTCAGTGATAACAAACAACTGGCTGTTGCACGAGTGCCCTGGGGTCACTGCTACTCTTCTAAGAAGCTAAAACTCGAGACAGAGCAAGTGCCAACCAAGTAACAAGTGCCAACCCTGTTCCCTTTCCTTCCTTTGTCTTTCATTTGTTTCTCCGATAGCTTTGATCCTTATAGGCAGTGCTCCATGGGCCATGGCCCAGGGAAAAATGATGTAATAACCACATACAACTTTTAGCTTTCTTCAAGGAAAATTAAAAGTATAGTAAGTCCCTGATTTATAAATGGGTTCTGTTCTAGAAGAATGTTTGAAAGTTGGATTCATTTGTGAGTCTGACAGTGAATCTTACACACGTTTGACACATACACAATTCAAAGCATAAAAATACCAAACACAAAAATACTGTAAATAAACCATTTTTACTTTATAGTTATTTTAAAATGGTGGTACAGGATTAACGTTAAGTGAGCTACTTCTGTAATTTATTTACATCTACAAATGTTCATCATGAGAGGTCGATTTGTATCTGTAAAAGTTTGCAACTCAGATGTTCATATATTGGGAATTTACTGTACCCTAATTGTCCTTGGGAACCCTGGTGGAAGACCTTCTGGGATAATGTAAGTTTTCTAAGGGATGAATCATTTAGTCTTCCTTCTGGAAATGAGTAGGTACTTGACCATAGGGAGACAGGCAGATACCTAGACGGGAAAATATGAATTGTGTGAAGGAGAAAGGTAGTATTCCCAGAGTGCCCAGGACTTTGAATGCCCTTTGAGGAAGGTGTTGTTTTTGGTTTCTGGGGAGTTTTTTTGGTTCTGGGAATCAAACTCAGGACCATGTGCTTATCAGCAGATGCTGTGCCGCTGAACTATCCTCTGCTCAGGAAGTCCTGCAGTTTGGGGTTTCATCTATTTTGGGATTCTTATTTATAAACCTGCTGGTGTCAGCCCTCAGATTCTGATCCTGTGTGTCTGGGTTGGGGCCCATCTCTTATGCTTTTTTAAAAAATAAGTTACGTTGGGTGATTCTGATTGGGTATCGGGTTTTCTGTTTTTGTTTTTTCCTCTGGCACAGGGGATGGTACCCAGGGCCTACTGTCTACGTGGCAAGTGTGATACCAGTAAGCTACATCTCTAGTCTGAAAAGTGTTTTTCAATAACTTTATATGAAAGGCAGTAGTAACACAGTGATAAGTAAACTAAATTTCCTGTCCTTTGGACGATTGTACAGCAGACAGTATTGACACAGTTATTTATTTGATTAAACAACAATGGATTGCTTAGTAACCTGAGGATAAATTTTAGTGATGTAATAGTTGACACATATCAAAAAAGTCCAGCAAGTGCTACATTTAATAGTAAAACTGTAGAAACTGTCACTAATCATCAACCAGGATTATTAATTCCAATAGGAATGTTTTTCAATTAATCCTTACACAGAAGATCTGTGTTTCAGCCTAATGCTTGTGATCCTTGTGTGTAGTAGCACCAATAAAGGTGAATTCTGGAAAAGGAGCCATATATTTGGGTGACTTGTAGTCTAAGCAGATCATTTCTTCTGACTGAGTTCCTTGCTCCCTTCTGTAATATTCTTAGGTTATAGTTTATGATCAGTATAATTCAACATGATAGACCAACCTGAGTGGGAAAGAAATCCTTGGTGTTTTAAACACTGAGAACTCCAAACTAGACTGAGTAACCTAGTATACACTCAACCTAGAATCCGGGTGGGTTCAGCTGGGTCCATGAGTGGCTCTTCAGGGCGAGCTAGAACAAAGTTCCAGGGTGGGGTGAGGTGTGCCCCGTGAGGCGGCTCCTGACTGTGCTCCTCCTTCTCTCTGCAGCCTCACCTGAGTCACCTTCCATGGTGCACCCAGGCTCCTGCCTCTGGACCTTGGCTCCTTCCCCCATGCCTTATCTAGCCTGTACTTGCTGCTGCCAGGAAGGTGTGGCAGAGGGATCAGTGAAACTGAGTGGCTGGATGCCCAGCCCTGCACCAGTGCCATCTTCTGAATCTGTTGTTCCTGAAAAACCCTCCTGTCATTCTGGCTGTCAGTGCTCTGGCTCCTGAATGAGGACTCTGCTGTTCTGGGGTACCCCATTAAAGGGCGCCTGCCTCTGGCCACTCTGAATGTGCTGTTTGTGGGTGTCAGCTGTGCCATACCCTCTCCCATTGTTAAGGACTTTGGGAAGGCTGTCAGAGAGAGACATACACACAGCCTTCTCTGTCATCCATAGGAGGCTTCATCCCTGCCCAAAAGAAGCATTACCCTGGGGCTGGGGATTTAGCTCAGAGGCATAAGCTCCTGCCTTGGAAGCAGGCAGTCACGAGTTTGATCCCTGGTACTGATTAAAAAAAAAAAAAATCAAAAAAAAAAGAAGCACTCCCCTCTGTTCTCACAGATTCCACTGATCTTGTTTTGATCATCTGTGCTCTCCATGAGAGACGTGGTCCACCTTTTACATCCCACCTCGAAATGCGCCTGTCCTTTTTGACCTATGTTGGATGGAGGTGGCTGCCCTTGCCCCCAAGCCCCTTGCCTAGGTAGCTAAGCGCAGGGGAAGCCTTTGGCAGGTCGAAGCTGTTGAGCAAGCTGCAGGCTGGATAAGGCGGAGCCTCGGCCGTAGGGGCGGGGCCGAGTGCTGTGCTTGTGGCCCCACCCGGCGCTGAGCTGTTTCCACCCTGGAGGAGGTCGATGACGTGAGTACGTCGTGACGTTGCTACGCAGGGACCGCTAGGCAGCGCCAGTTCCTGCTGAGTGGTGGGGTTCGGCTGCTCGTCCTAGCTGCGTGAGGAGAGGTTGTAGTTGGATGTACGGGAAGCTGTGAGCAGGTGCTGGCGGCGCGAACCTGACGACCTTGTTACGCAGACCATGGGCGCTCAGTTGAGTGGCAGTCCGGGTACCCCCGAACCGGCGCAGCCAGATCCCTCGGAACCAGCCCCTCCTGACCAGCCCCAGCCTGGGCAGGAGCCTGATCCCGACCCTTGGGGGCCACTGGACGACGTGCGCTTCCTCATCGCCTGCACTTCCTGGTACTGACACTGACACTGCCACTTGGGAGACTGCCGAGCTGCCTCTCCGTCCTTGCATCGTTGGGCTGGTCAGCCTCTTCCTGCAAACCCGTGTCTCTTCCCGAACCTCGCAGACAGGCAGAGAACCCGAAGAGATCGGCCAGGCCAGCAACCAAAGCCAGCTCTGACCGTGTTCAACCCCAGTCCTCTCTTGAGGGCAGCCTTCCCTGAACCAGAACCAGGCCAGGCCTTGTGGTAAGACCCTATGGCTGCTGACCTCCCGGCCTGTCGGACCCTTATTGCTAGAACTGAGCCCCTTCCTGCGACCCAGGTTATGGCATTGTGTGTTCTGAGCTCAGAAAAATATTTGCCTGTGAGATTTCCTGTATTTTTTTTTTTGCATTATCAATTCTTTTATTGAACCACTGATATTTGCAGCGTTACAGTGCATACTAAAGTGGTATCTGCAGGAGACTAACCAGCTGAAAACAAGGACCCAGACTCTTCATAAGGGAGTTTGTCCCCACCGTTTTTGGAAAGGGAGGATGTCTGATCGCTAATCTAGCAGACTATGTTTGGGGCAGTTCTGAAATGCCACAGAGACCCTGAAGCTTTGTAAGGCCACTTCTTAGAAGCTAATCTTTTCCCCAAGCCCCAGAAAATTGACACGCTCTGTCTTTCTGTTTTATTTAGAAATGATTTAAAAAACATTATACAAAGGCTGATCAGTTTAAAATGTGACCGACACTGAAATGCTGTGATATCCCCCAGGCTGAGGGAAAGCTGGGCTCTCAGGCCACCAGTGCTTTGTCCCTCTGTCTGACTGCCCTGTCCTGGGGTGATGAACATGACCAGAAGCAGGAGAATCCAAGAATGGAAGCCTCCAGGCTGAGCCCTCTCTGGGCCTGGCCTGGCATGCCTCACATCTGCAGTCTGGCTGCCTGCCTCCACTGTCTGCTCTTTCTCAGCTGGCCTTGTAGTACCAGGAGCCAATAGGAGCCTGGGAGGTGGGAGCCTAGAGCTTTCAGGAAGTGAGAGCACCAACCTGAGGAGTGGAGAAGGGCCAGGTAGGGGTTGGGGAAGGGAAGCCAGGAAGAGATAGATAGAGCTCAGACCTCACAGGGGTCCACAGATGGAGACACAAGACCCAGCCAACCCTGTGGATGGCCCTGGCAAGTAACAGAACCTCTCCACGCTTCATCTGAGGGAATGATGAGTGTAGCCCTCAACCTCCCAGGGCCTACATGATTTTCATATGAGTTGGACAGGTGTGAGCTAATAAAGTGCTTTGCAAAGTATAAAACACTGTACAAACCTATGAATCACTAATATCTCCGCAGTTGTTCCCAGCCTGCCCCAGGGAGCCTGCCCTTGGCCAAAAAAGAAAAAACAAGATGATGATGACAGGGTACACAGTGGACCCACATAGGTGCCTCTGGCACCATAGATTTAACTTAGGACAGTTCACAGGGTAGCAAGAGTCTCTGTTTGTGCTACAGGGTAAGTCAACCCAAAGCCCAGAGGCCACAGGGTGGGAGCAAGGCCCATGTGGGCTCAGTGGGCAGGAATGGCATCTGAGACCCTGCCAGCACCCAAAAGACTGTTCGACACTGCTTTTTGGTGGAGAGCCAGTGAATGTCCCTGCAACCCTTGGTCTTCCCTAGAGCTCCTTAATGACAAGCTACTGTCTGCTGAGCTGAAGCAATGAAAGCTGAGCCCTGTGAACTCCTGGCAGAAGTGAACAATTGGCCCGAGAAAGGGAGGCCTCTAGGCTTGGAGCTGCTACCAGTTGGAGATGCCCTTTTCCTAAGAGCAGTACAGAAAGGGGCCAGTGAGCTGGGTTGCCAGGGCTAAGCTCATGGCATAACATTGCTTCCAGGCTGAGACTGAGATGCCTCAGGGTAGCTGGGGGTGTGGATATGAAGACTGCTCTGGGCCCTTTACTCCAAGGCCATGACAGTTGTGCCCCTGAAGCCATTCTGCTTTACCTGACTACTCCACAAGTAATAGGCAAGAGCAGGGCTGGGGACCAGCTTAATGGGGCATTGGAGGGCACTCACAAACTTGGATTGGCCTCCAGAATGGGGTCAACTCTTGCCCCAGCTCTTAAGCAGGGCCACAACTAGTGTTAGATGGCTAGTGTGGCCTTAGGAGCACCTTGGTCCTTACCATCTAGGAGAGGTCCACCATACTGGCCTCATCACCAAGACAGTCATTGCTAACTCACTTAATACCTCAAGCAGCCTTTGCAAAATGGGACTTTAAACAGTAGTGACAAGACATTAAAATATTCACGACGTGACAGCTGAGTCTTTGACAGATCCAGCTGGGCCACAGCCCTGCCTGCAGCATGTGACCCTAAATCCTGGGTCTCAGAGGAGACCTGATAAGTACAGCAGGTTTCTTGAGGGACCTGCTGTGGCCAGCAGGGAGACCCCAGGCTTGTTGTCCACTGTTGGCAGCAGGGATCCTGTAGCCTTGGAGGACAGGACAGGAGGGATGGTGTGGATAGGGGGACATCTGACCAGCAGGTGTTGGCAGAAGGGGACTGGGTCTGGTAGCATCTCCCAGATGGGGGATGAGAGCTAGTGCTGGCTTCCCATGGAGAGTGCTGGGTCCCAGCCAGGACTGGAGCTGTGGTATCATAGATACCACAGGATTCAGTGACCACAGGGACTCCTGGCATAGCCCCTGCCTCCTGGTGTGGCTTAGTATATTCTCTTATGTAGAGAGTATTTTTCCCAGGATAGAAGACTGGCACCTGGGTGCCAGATGCCCTGCTGGGGCCCAGCCCTCACTGTTCCCTGCCCTCAGCCTAGACCAACACACCTACCACTTCGGCTGTATGATCCTGGCCTAAGGCCCTGCTGGCCCCCGTGGGCAGTGGCCAGAGCTGCCCCTCAGACCCTGGTGAGGAAGGGCCTGGCTGGCCAGACCGAGTGGACAGAGAGGGCTCTGGGCTGCTCATACCCACTCCTGGACTGGCCGCTTATAGTAGGTGACAGGCTGAGGGCCTGCTTTGTTCTTGAACTGGAAGATGGTATAGACCAGCACCAGGATGCAGAGGGATAGGATGCAGGGGATAACCACGGCCACAGCATTTACAGAGCCTGGCACGTCATTGATGGTCACCATGATATCCACATCATCCTGGGGCAACCGCCGCTCCTTACGCCGTTCTACCTCCTTCTGGTTGCAGCCCATCCAGTCTCGCAAGATGTTGCGTGGGTACCCTGGCTCCACGCTCAGTTTCTGGTTGTCAAACTTCCAGTAGTCCCGGCCCTTGTAGAAGTAGGTGTAATCTGCAGAAATAAGGTCCACATCACCACTCTCAGACATGTCTCAGCACCCACCCAGGGCCAGTGTGAGGCACAGGGTACTGTGGCCGTGTGCAGGAGGGAGGGTGCAGGGAGCCGCCTGTTGGAATCTTGGAGGTGGGGTGAGTACAGTGCTTGGTTGGATTGCAGAATAAACACACAGCTGTAAAAAGGGACCCTGAGGTCCTGGAGCCACCCACCCATTAGCTCAAAACTGCTGTGAAACCACTGAGAGCTGAAGATGAATCGAGACACAGTTCCTAGCAAGAAAGGACCATTCTCAGGGCAGATGCAGCTCTATCACATTGTGCCCACAGGCTCCCATGTCAGGCCATGCCCCATTTTAAGGGTTGGACAGCACTATTTCCTGCCTGGGCCAACGGGCACAGAGCAGGATTTCTCCTTTTGACAGCAGATAATACCTCTGCAAATCATGGATTTTTTTTTTTTTTTTTTTTTTTTTTTTGCTACCCACGTATCACTTCACAACACAGATTGGGTCTTTGGGACCCTTCTCAGGAAAGGCTGGAAGGAAACAAGTGGGTGAGCGGGCTGGAAAGCTCTGCTAGTCACTCCCTGGAACCCAGCAACAGTCCTAGCAGCAGCTCAGCCAGTCCACAGACAGCAGAGCAACTCACTCAGACACTCATCATTGGCTAGCTCTCCACCCTGGCTGGGACTTTCATTGGTGAAGATCCTTGATGTCACCTGTTTCTGAGGCTTTCCAGAAAGGGGGACCACGTGTGTAAAGCATCTGGCATACAAGACAGTCAACAAATAGCAGCTCCGCCTGTGTTATTCCTGGCTTTTGAAATGGTGATGCCTCCCCAGAGAGCCCTTCCTCACCATGGCCTCTAGTATGGTGTCTTCTGCCTAGTTGCTGTCTCACAGAGTTTATTTCCCTGCTAGCTTTTGTTGCCACCTTACTTGTATTCTGCCACTAGACTGAGAGCTATGCAAGTCTTGTTCGATGCTATATTCCCAGCCTCTCCTATGCAAACTGGTTTCATGGGACAAATCCTACCTTTCAACTGAAACACAGCAACAAGATGATGGTAGCAGCTAAAACTTATATACTGTAGACCGTGTGGAAGGCATTATGCTAAATGCTGTGTGTAATTAATCCTTTTAAAGTCATTATTTTAAAATGCCATTATTATCCCCATTTTATAGATAAGACTCAGAAGCTTCTCTCTCCAGCTCCCTGCCCTCAAACCCTATGTAAGGGCACGTCTGGATCGTTCCTGTCCTTCACTGTTTTTCAGACTTGACTACCTGAGGGACCCTTAAATGACATCTAAAGACCAGTGAGAAATGCTATCTGAAGGAAGGAATTCTTAGGAAAATCTCTCAGCTGTGAGTCATTTCTATAGATGAAACTTGTGACCAGCTAGCTGGTAAGCAAGTTAATGTACTGTGTGAACACGGTCACAGCGGGCAATTTCCTGCTACCAGCTGGTGTTTCTCAAACTTGGATATCTGACAATGTGTTCAGGGCCCTGAGAAACACATAAAATCATCCCCTAAAAGACAAAAAAAAAAAAAAAAAAACCTCGGGAAGGGGCTGGGGATTTAGCTCAGCAGCATAAGCACCTGCCTTGCAAGCAGGCAGTCGTGAGTTTGATCCCCGGTACCAATAAAAAAGGAAAAAGACAAAAAAAAAAAAAAATCATCCCCTACCCCTGCCAGGGTCCAGCCCCTTACGTACACCCTTCCTTGCTGATGAAGGCCCCTTGGGGAGCTTGTGGGATGCCCTTCCACACAGTGATGGGCTTGGGATAGCCAGGATCTGTGGCCCGCCGCTCCTCGCTGTAGCGCCAGTACCGCTCGCCTTTGAAAAAGTAGGTCTTGCCCACGGGCTCCCAGCGCAGAGCTGTGTCGATGCCTTCGCGGGGCAAGCAGCTGCCCAGCTCCCCCAGGCTATGGGGGTACCCGGGTTCTACTGTCACCTCCTTAAACACCCAGTACTTGTCACCTGTGGACAAGAAGAGCCCAGAGTCAGTTTTCCATAGCCATTCAGTGCCAGTGGTTGTGGCTAGAGTCACTGGCCCATCTTTATTCATAAAGCCAGAGTGTCAGCCCCCTTAGCCCGTTGGCTCTGGCAGATCTTGGGGGCAAGAAGCCAGAAGCTAGAAGCCAATCACAGGTCCTGGCAGTAAGCCACCTCTTGACTTTCCTCTGTGATGATCTTAGCCATTCCTGTGATGTCACACACTACCTCCTGCCCCCAACCTGTTACTGGTGTCCAGACACTGATAGCCAGTGGCCCTGGCAGCTCCAAGTAGGCTTCCCAGAACTCACCTGAACCACAGAGGAACTTCCTTCTCATCACCTCTCTGCCTCCTTGGGTCCCAAAGAAAACGATCTAGCACACCGCCACCACCACTACCACACTCATGCTAGGCACACACCCTACCACAGAGCTGCATCCCCAGCCCTTTTTATTTTGTCTGTGGTGCTGGAGCTTAAACCCAGGACCTCCTGCATACTAGGCTGTTCCACCACTGAGTCATATCCCCACCCCCTTTTTATTATTTTATTTTGTCTTGCAAAGTTGATGAAACTGGGTTCGGATTTGTGGTCCTCTTGTCTCAGCCTCTGGAGTTGCTGGGATTATAGGCAAGTGCCACTATATCCAGCCTGGCATCAGTTTTGACCAGTGCTTCATTCCTATCTTAGTATTTGGCCACTCACAAGTTCTTTTAAGTATCCTCACAGCTGTCCCCTGTCCTCTGACTGCACAGCTCTTTTCTGGTTTGGGCTTCAGGATAGTGCTCTCCTTGAATCCAGCAGTTGCCTCCAAAACAACCTCCCCACCTTTGTGCTACTGTATCACCACCTATCCCATGGCTCTGTGCTGTTCAGAAACATGCAGTGGATTTCCAGTGTCAGCCTAATGGGTCCAGATCATAGTCCACCTGGCAACCCAGGCTTTTCAGGATTTGCCTCTGCACACTCCACCACTGCCTTACCTATGTCATTCCAT